CAATCCAAGGACCTTGGATAAGCTCTCTTGCAAAATGTTATGAATATTAGGGTACAAAATAATAAATTACATGGCTAGACACCAGATAATAATTTCACTTTTTATTTTAGTCAGACAACAGAGTTAACTTCTCCAAAAAAAAAAAAACAAATAAAAAACACCCAGAAAAGATACTGTATAGAAAACAAACTTCTATCTTCCCCAACACAGTACATGCACGCCCTAATACTGCATTTGTTACCATTCATCTATATAGTCTTAATGTAATCCACGTTCCCTTCAAATCTTGAAGGGAAACAGAGTTGTTTTAGCATAATAAATGTAATTCAACTTTGACTGTAAAATTAAAGACTTGGTGGTAATAAACGTTATGGATAAGCATTATTAGGGCTTTGTTTACAGAAGAGCCACACACGGTTTCATGTGTGACAGCGTGGCTTTGTGTGTATCTTCAGGAACAAGATACACTGTCATAATGATGCACGTGTCAAACTCACCAGGAGGTTTGCTCCACTCTGAAACAGGTTGTAGGGATAGAGAATTTTCTCATAATGCCCTCGCAGGTGTGAGCCAACAGCTTTACCAGGGGCAAAGCCCATTTGTAGTGCAATCTTGGTCCATCTCCTGTCCCGACAGACAATGTCAAATCCACCCTCGTCTGCTACCAGCTGAAACGACAATGAGTTAATGTTGTGAGTTTAATTGCATTTTTAAAAATATATACATGTATATCTATAAATAATGTGCAGTGACATTAATTATCAACCTTATTAAGCTTATATAAATCCAAAATCTTCCTCTCTACATGAGGAATCTTCAGCACACATCCCTGCAAATCCCAAAATTTGGCAATCTGGTCCAAGAAGTTGAGCTTTACTCTGGTCTGTGCCTGGAAAAAAGAATATATCAGAATAGACAACAGTCAGCTACAAAAAAAATGTATAATCAAGGAAATCAACCGAGACAAGGACAATTACTAGGGAAAATAAAATCTTAACAGGCTGATATGTATCCAAGAGCACGGGGTAGTGTACATTTTACATAAATAAATGCACCTTCAGTGTAATTAAAAGCTTGGATTAAATAACAATTATGCATGGCAATTTCCAGTCTAAATTCATTGGTGAGCAATTACACTAATGAAGTAAAAACATAGCAATGTAATGTATAATTTTAGTGTAGCGACACACAAACATAGTTATAGTCAAATTACCACTGGTATAATCTGACTAACAAATCTCACCTCCAGTTCATTGAGCCTCTGGATCCGAGGAACAAAGTGAAGTCTGTCAACATCGCAAGCGAACGGAGGCTGCCAACCCTAAACAGCAACAGACATACACATGATGGCACATGAGGGTCTTCATATCATCTTTTTATGAAGTTGGCATTTTTTAAATTTTCATTCTTGCATTGATAATTATATTACAGAGACTATTTGTCTTGCCTCTCAAGATGGTCCCCTTGTGACAATTGTTTTTAAAAGCATGGACCCAAACTTTTTGAAATTTTTGTTTTCTTTACCCTCGGAGACTTAACTTAAACTAAATTAGTTAGATAAAAGAGACAAATGGCTACACAGTTTCAGGTTTGTAAAGTGATGTTTGGCATTAAAAAAGCAAGGCCTGCTGATACTGAAAGGACACAGTGATCCTTTTCAGTTTATAACTCACAACACCAATCAATATCTGTGTCAATACAACACACAGCGAAGCATAAACAATGGCAAAACCCTATCAAAACAACCAGGGACCCAAGTTCTTGTTTAAAGTCAGTAGCCAACATCCCCCACTGGCACACAAAATGGCCAGATGGAAGACTCACTCACCAGCTTACCACAAAGCCAACATGGAGGACAACACCCTACAACACAGGCTCATACATGAACAGTGGCTCATCTTGCAAGAAAATTTTATTACTACCATGCAAGTGTAATGTTGTGTACTATGGCGGGGGAAACTACTAAACTTACTTGAAACGTCATAACTTCTTATTTAACAATAACAGTGGTCTTTGTGAATAAATACCCCATTGTACTTCTAGTCACATTCTTGGGGGTAATTTGTCTGACACTCCAAACTATGAAAGGGAACATTTATGTCCTCCATGAAATAAATACACACTTCCTCACGATGTTCATTAGAAATTGCCAGTTGACCGAGAAGTGATGGATCACACAGGGCTCAAGTACACTGAATGACCCAATGATGCTCTTCCAACAAATAATCCATAATTAACACCAACTGCATGATTTTTAAAAGGACATAAAACTTAAACACAACAAGTAAGAATGCGAGTTAACATAATTGTTTATCTTATAATCATCTTCTACGCAGCAGAATGGCTTCCGCATAGCCAGCTATGTCAAAGCCGTGTGCTAAATTATGACAGGTTGCTTGGTGAGCTGTTAGCTTGTGTTAGCCTACTACTAGCTAAGTGGCTCAATGACCGGACCGGGACCAGCGAGACTTTGTTGACACACGGTGGACCACGACTATTATCCACTTGTAAACACACTGGCGCATCTATATTGCTGCGAGCCACACCAAAGTCGACCAAAAACACAGCGCGGTAACGCCTTATGTAATTATAAACGAGAGCCTGCTAGCTGTGGCAGCACAAAGAATGAACATAGCCGTGTATCCGCCATGTTGAACAGTCCCTTTAAATCCCGTGCGCTTGGTCCATCTACAGCGGTCTTAACGGTGGACTAACTCAGCATCCGCGTCGGTGTACCGTTTAATCGTCTTTAATCACACTCACCGGAGGCGGTCGGACTTTGCAAATGCCAGTTTTTTCGGCGATGGGACGGATCTTATTGATGAAGGCAAACGGATCTCTAAATTCTTCCCAGCTGGGCTCGAAGACCGGGCACTCCGGAGGAGGCTTGAACTCGTCCGGCCGAGGCAGGCTCATCTTTAACGGACCGACCCGGTGGTAGCTCGGACAGGACAGGTCACTGCTTCTTTTTTCTTTTTTTCCCGGTTTTTCCTGGAGGAGTGTTTGTTTTCGGTCTCCCGTTTGTTCACCGTCAGACTCTGTGGCAGTCAGTCGTCATCAACACGAGAGGAGGCAGCTTACACACACACAAACATACACTCACGCACACACACATCCATGCACAGTGAGGAGACTGTTCCAAGGCATTGAGCACGTCCGCTCAAAAAACTAGACACCACACAAATCAAAATGTGGCTCTCTGACTAATTGTGCATATGAACTGTTTTGAAGAGTTGCAAAACTAGAAAGAAAAAAAACACCTATGGTTACGCTTGCTTTTTGTTGTAAAGAGATGTAGGCTAAGTTATATAGTTTGATGTTGGCATGGTAAAAAGGTTGTAATGATGTAGCCTATGTAAAAGGCAAAATCCAAATTATTCAAAAACGACTCCTAAAAGTTAAAGCGTGTGGTCTGTCTCAGTTTCCACAATGTTTTAGGTGTTTAATCGAGTTCTTCTTCTTCCATGTTGGTCAGTGTTGTGGTGCAATAGATCTGTTAGTTTGGTTTTATTACACACCACACGTTGTTGCATTTAAATGTCTAATCTCATTGCCTCACACTTTAGTAACTGCACAATCTATACCTGGATGTACCCTAATTTGCTGTTGAAATGATGTGCAGCCATAATGCCACAGCCAAAATCAAGATCTGAAACAGACTGCATATATAAAACTTTTATTATTCTAAAATATAATAAAAAATATAGTAATAATAATAAACAATTATAACCTTTATTTGACCAGAAAAAGTCTCGTTCAGATTTAAAAATATCGTTTACAATAGTGCCCTGGCTAAGACAGGCAGCAGCACAATTAAGGGTTACATATACATGCATACATAAAAAGAATTGCAATGAAAATAAATAATACATTACAGGATCATAAAATATAAAAAATATTCCATCAAATATTAAACAAATTGCAACATTCTACGTTTAACACCTGTCCATATTTAAAGTAGCAACAAGGAAATGCGATTATGATGCCTGCTCTACAGGCTGTAGCCTTAAATCCTGGTGAGACATCATCAAGTGTAACGATTCTTGACATTTCCACTTCATCATTGCCCAACAACAAAATTGCATCTAATCGTAATTAACATTAACTAATTTCCCGCATCGTGTTATTATGAAATCGTGATCTGTGAAACAGTTTTCGTCTTTGTAGACTGTCTTATGTTTACACTTGCGCGGATGAATATGTTCAGGTGACACCTTCAGGGCTACTGGCACTCGCTGTTTGAGTAACCAGTCTGTGCAGTTGATGATGTTTTTTATGAACATATATAACATATGCTACTAAACACAATCAGAGGCTGCTTGAATGCAAATCCTTCATGTTCTTGGAAGCAGTTTAGTGTAATTAAACCACTTCACTTCACCTCACTGCAAAAACGTCTATTGTTTGTTTAGGAATGTTTTATTGTTGATGATCAGTGGTGGAAGAAGTATTAAAAATCACTTACCTAAGATAAGATAAGATTGAACTTTATTCTGAGGGAAATTGTCCTGCAGCAGTTGCAGTACAAAGTAGGAAAGGATGCAAATAAGTATAAGTAGAAATACAACACATTATAAGGAAAGGTCCTCCATTCCAAATTTTACATAACTAAAAGTACAGAATATTTAGCAACAAAATGTACCTAAAAGTAGTCATTATGCAGAATGACATCTTTCAGTGTTATATTATTGAATCATTATTGGTGAATTGTAATGTGTAAGCAGTACTTCCATTGTAACTTAGTTTGTCAATGTGGAGCTCACTTTAAGTACTTCATGTACTGTTGGGTAGCTTAACTTATACCAATACATGATGAAGTAGCTAGTAACTATAGCTGTAAATTAAATTAAGCGGAGTAAAAAGTGCAATATTTCCATCTGAAATGTAAAGGAGTAGAAGACTAGCATAAAAGGAAGTACTTAAGTACATCAAATCTGTACTGAAGCACAGTCACTACATATACAGTACTTAGTTGTATTGTTTTTTATTTGTTGTATGGATTTGATAGTATCATGATTACCTTGGTACCAGGACATCAAGGAGCACAATGAAAATAAGTCTTTGACTTTTGTTGTTATCCTTGACATTCTGTAGATGACCTGGGGTCCTCCATCTCACTGTGTCAAATAAACTAAACATTATTTGTATGATGTCCTTTCACTGAATATATACTCACCTGTGATACTGTGATGTTTTGCCAATTAAACATCAAAAGTCATAGTTTCTGTGATCCCTCTTCTCTGACGATAGACCTAACCAAACCAAGTCAAAGTGTTTTGATGAGCGTAGCTTTGCCTGCATACTTGCACTGAATCAGTCAAGGAGATACAAATGATGATCCTGGTGACCCCTGGCCCTGCTTAACAGTTACAAAAACATACATTGGTTTACCACCTTGATCCTATATGACATTTCCTAATTATCACTTATTAGCATGAGTTCGAACTAATGATGTCTCAGATGTTGGCTACAACGATGCATTACTTCTGTTTGGGGTCTCAGAGACCTCAGCTGTAAAACATGGTTAGATACAATCTGTATTCATATTCTCCATATCTGTGATTAGTGTTAACAATACTTTTTACAAAGCACTACCCCTCCCAAATGTCAAGCAAGTATATTTGGTCTCACAGTCTCCCGTTTGTTTCCCTATTACTGGAGTTTTATAAGAGGTCTAATCAGACCTCTCTGGTCTAATTGACCTTAAACATATTTGTCAATATGAAGGAAGCATTCTGCACATTTCTTTGTCTGTAAATTACTTTTTGGCAATACATCGCCCATATAACATATAAAACGTTTCCTTCTTTCCCTATACAACTATTTCTGTATGTGTAATAACGATGCTGTATGCCAGTGGTGGAAGAGGTATTTAGATCCTTTACTTGGGTACCAATACAACAGTGTAAAAATACTCCATTACAAATACAAGATGATGATCAGTCAAATGAAATTAAAAGTAAAAGTACTCAATTATTTGATTAAAAATATCAGAGCAGTCTAGAGAGAAAATGAATCAAAAGTTTAGAAACCAATGGTTCACCCTTTACAATATATTGAATTTTATAAGCTTATCAAATGTTTTCTTTATGTAAAATCTTCAGCTGAAAAATAACAAGTAACTCCAGCTGTCAAATAATTGTAGTGGAGTAGAAGTATAAAGTAGCAGTAAATGGAAACACTGAAATAAAGTACAAGTTCCTCATTTGAGTAAAACTACTTAGTTACTTTCCACCACTGCTGTATGGCCATTTCAGTTTTTTGTCACCTTCATCAAATGTGCAAGCCCAGTTTGTTGCAAAGGGAAGGGTTGCCATTTCAATAATTCTCTATATATTGGGTTTTAATAAGGTAAGGAGGAATGTATTTAAAGAAAAAATTGGAATTATTACTGTTACTTATTTCACATACAGCGGTATGAGAATCTGAGAATCTTCACAGATACTTCCTCATTGTTCCACATCGAGGAATGAGGAAACAATGAGGAAGTATCTGTGAAGATTCTCAGTCATCCAGGTCATTCTGACCGACTTATAGGGAATCCCAGCCATTTAATCTCTGTGGGGTCATTACCAAGGTGATGGATACCGCTTGGTTTGTTCGTGCTCCTGGCTGTTGTAATGACTGTCATTGTGGTCATTCAACCACACTAAATGGCAGGGATTCCCTACCAGTCAGTCAGAACTGAAGAAGCCCTTTGGATGAGAGGCGAAACGTCTTCAAGTATCTTCAACCGAGACCAGTTGCCTTTGATTTTAACCTTCCTTTGATAGTGACGAAGTAAAGCCAATGTCAATTTTGGTAAATTTGCTTGTACGTTCATTTTAAGGTCTAATCTTCTGGGCGTGTTTGCCTTTATTCAAAAGTGGACAGAGAGGGAAGGTGGTGACCTGCAACAAAGATCCCTGGGCAGATTTGTAGTGGGGACTTGGTGGTTACATGGTGTCGTCTTAGACCACTGTAACACCCTATTCGCATGTCTCCAACAAGTTTAACACAGAATATGTCAAGACAAACTTATTTGACAGCACAATTAAAATACAATTTAGAGTAGTTTGTCTTCTTAATCCAAAGCTGGCATTATAAAAATATGGCAGTGACAATTATTAACTCTGCCGTCGTCACAGCCCAAAGCCTCACGAGGTTCAGTATTCTTGTCCTTCATCGTCATTTTCAGAATCGGGGCTCATTTGACCCAATTCCTCGTAATCCCTTTCAAGACAGGCCAGGTCCTCTCTGGCCTCTGCAAACTCTCCCTCCTCCATGCCCTCACCCACATACCAGTGGACGAATGCACGCTTAGCGTACATGAGGTCGAACTTGTGGTCAAGGCGAGACCAGGCCTCAGCAATGGCGGTGGTGTTGCTCAGCATGCACACAGCTCTCTGGACTTTGGCCAGGTCCCCACCAGGAACTGCAGTTGGAGGTTGGTAATTAATGCCAACCTGTTGAGACAAAGAGAACGATCAGAAAGATAAAGTATCTCAGGCTGCACGTCACTTACATTCATAAGGTTACTCACCTTGAAGCCAGTGGGGCACCAGTCGACAAACTGAATAGAACGTCTGGTCTTTATACTTGCAATGGCGGCATTCACATCTTTAGGGACGACATCGCCTCGGTACAGCATGCAGCACGCCATGTACTTGCCGTGACGAGGGTCACACTTGACCATCTGATTGGACGGCTCGAAACAGGCGCTTGTGATCTCGGACACAGTCAGCTGCTCGTGGTATGCCTTCTCAGCAGAAATGATGGGTGAGTAGGTAACCAGTGGGAAGTGGATGCGTGGAAATGGGACCAGGTTGGTCTGGAATTCCATCAAATCGACATTGAGGGCGCCATCAAAACGAAGGGAGGCCGTGATTGAGGAGACAATCTGACCAATCAATCTGTTGAGGTTGATGTAACCAGGACTTTCAATGTCCATGTTGCGACGACATATGTCGTAGATGGCCTCGTTGTCCACCATAAAGGCGCAGTCAGAGTGCTCTAAGGTAGTGTGGGTGGTCAGGATGGCGTTGTAGGGCTCCACCACAGCAGTTGACACCTGGGGAGCCGGGTAGACGGCAAATTCCAGCTTAGATTTCTTGCCATAGTCTAGAGACAGACGCTCCATTAGCAGAGAGGTGAAGCCAGAGCCAGTTCCACCTCCAAAGCTGTGAAAGACAAGGAACCCCTGCAGGCCTGTGCACTGGTCCGTCTGATGAGAGGGACAGAAGGAAAGGATAGCTTTTTAATAAAATCTCAAAACAAAATAAGCTTCATATCTCTTTCTGGAATTTGCATGATAAAGGTCATTCATCGGGTTTTATCATTACTGACCATTTTACGAACACGCTCCATGACTCCATCAATGATTTCTTTCCCGACAGTGTAATGGCCACGAGCGTAGTTGTTGGCTGCATCTTCCTTTCCAGAGATCAGCTGCTCAGGATGGAAAAGCTCTTTGTACTTTCCAACCCTTACTTGGTCTGAAAAGAAAGGTTTTCTTCAGAAAGGTGTCCTGCACAACTGCAGCTTGGTTTAACTTGATTGACCAGACCAGTGTCAAAGGTGGATGTTTACCGCTGAAACAGTCTAATTGATCAACTTTACTGTCACGTTATCTCGACTATTGCAATTACTATATTTCAACAAAATCAGTGTATTGTTCGTACATAGGCAAGTCCGTTAATGCAGCAAATTCATGACTAACTTCCCCTGATAAAATATGTAGATTTGCAAAGATACAAACTAAAATTCAGACTGACTTAAAGGGAAATATGTATGTATTGTATAAAAAGATGCACACTCATATTTTCCATTTACATGTGATGGAAGCCATAAAAATGGGGATTAAAATGTCTTGAAATGTAGTAAAAGGTTATCAAGTCAAAAATATAACTGAATACGTGAATAAATAATACTGGACACACATGCTTGTACCCATCTATTTATCATACAAGCAAAATTTGAAATGTGGTGAGGAAAATGGGAAATGTTGATTGGGAAAAAGAGTGAGTGTGTAAATGGCTAAAGGATAGGCTCACAAAAGTATGTCTTAAATATTCAGGTACCCATTTGAACATTGAAATAGGGTTTGCTTGCTGTAAATCTCCTTTAAATCTTTTAAATGTATGTCCCACCCCCACCAAAAAAGGAAAACAAAATGATTAACTGAAAGACAAATAATAGAGTATAATAAATTTAATTTATTTTAATAAAGTGATTGGAAAATCAATTTTTAACTAAAATGATCATATATTGATGTATCCTTTTACTACATTTTGTCAGCTTTGGGGCTCCATAGCATTGGGGCTTCACTGAAACTATATCACAGAAAATTTAAATGATCACTACATATTGTAGTTTTAGATTGTGTGATGATGCTGAAAAATGTGGAAGAAAATATTTTTTACTTTGAAGTTTTTAGTAAACTTTAGCATAAATTGAAGGGACATGTCGGAAAAATGAATTTTGCTTGGCTAAAATCAATCCAATACTGCACTTTGCAACTTACTATTTACATAATACACTTCTGTAAATGTTAGCCAGCATTGAATAAAAGCTAAAAGAGTCACCACTGTGCTTGTTGCTTGGATACCAGAGTTCCCATCAGCAGTTACCTGCATGACCCATTTGGATGGAGATGCACTTACTAGACGAATACAATCACACATAATAGGACGACATGAATGTTAATAAAAACAGAGAGATAAGGAGGGTAAAAATAAACACACATACAGGAATACTCACCAACCACTGTGGGCTCCAGGTCCACGAAAATCGCTCTTGGAACATGACGCCCAGAGCTCCCGGTATTGAAGAAAGTGTTGAATGGGTCTGAACGGGAATTTGATTCTGTAGGATTGTCCAGGAAGACGCCATCAGGCCCGACGCCGTGCTCAAGGCAGAAGAGCTCCCAGCAGGCATTTCCTGTCTGGACACCCGCCTGGCCCACATGTATAGAGATGCACTCTCTCTGAACAGAAAGAAACAACACAATTGCGAGTTAAATACATGTCACAAGCTCACAAAACACAAAGCCAAACAATCCTTGTTGTACTTCTTTTAACATCTTTGACTCCCAACATTCGTGGTTTAGCAGAGCCATTTATTGCAAACCTGAAAATGATCAATAAGGAGTTTGTTTGTCATATTGTTTTGTTAGAAATATGCAATTTTGACATCCATCAATAATACCCACAGAGCTCTTTAAATTCCTTCACCACTAGAGGGGGTCTTTATCACATATGTGTCAGTGAAACTTCTTCCAAACAGATTTAACATAGGGATGTGAATCTAAAAAGCAGCAGAATACTTAACAGTGAAATTGAATCCACACTGAATACTTACAACTGAAATTTAAGTACTACTGAGTTTAAAGCGGCTATAATCAATATTTTTGTACAACAAGAATGGATCCAATGACAATGTGACAACAATGTGAAAGGGTCACATGTAGTGATGAACTTATAGATAATTTTCACCTGAATTGCAGCTTCTCTCTAGCGTTATGGAGCTTTATTATGTTTAAGCTCACTGTTTATCTGTCTGGCCCACAACTTTGCTGTTTTGGTTTGCTGTCACCGCTCTCATAGGGTTGTTTTGGGTCTCAGTAGGAAGCTGTTTTCAGAGAAAAAGCTCTAAAATCCCACTGTACACTACACGCTTAGCACCAAACTTCGGACAGACACTGTGAGCTATTAGCTGGTGAACATAGTGCAACGCTTATCAGCTAAAGAGATAGATTGTTTCACTTAGGAGTTGGTAGAGACCAAAAAGAGCTCAAAGAGAGGGACTATTGGACTTACATTCATCAGGTGGATGGAAACACACCTCCAAATTTTACTTTTACGATAAAATACATTCATTTGCTATAATTTCTGTCGTATTTAAATTTCAACTGCAATTCAATTACACAATTAGGTGTTCAGCTGAAAAATTTTAAATAATTACTGCTTTTCTTTCAGCTCGGTGTGCAATGCAAACATGTTTGATGATACACTGTATTATTCATTATATTTGTGTTCTGCTTTACCAGTTGTTGAGTGTAAACAATTAAAAACAGGCTTATTCCAACACTGTGTTGCATTTTCAAAGTGCTTCCTGCAGTCATGTTTGAACATGTTGAGAATTTCAGGTTTTGTTTTCCTTGGAGGGAGACCATCCCCCAAGATGATTTTTAGCCGTTGACTGACATTTGTAAGACATAGGTAAAGTGTGCATATAAACGTTAATAAAAAACTTGAGTATTCACAAAAAATTGTCTTTTCTACTGAGGGCCAGTTTAATATTCTTATGCTGAAGATGAAGCTTTGAGCTCCTCTCTGTGTCTGTCTCAGTCTCACTGATTATACACTTACAAAACTATTAACACAACAAAGTGCAAAGAGTAATATAAAAGATGTTATTAAAGCATAAAAAATGTTGGAGCTGCATGTATGTTAACACAAACACTTTTCATTTAAAATACAAACACTGTGCATGCAGCCAGACGTTTGGGGAGATATTTTCTTATCTTGCATAGATTTCCCTTGCAGACAATACAGACAGATATTGCTGCCGATTTCCAAAAAAGTGAGATACATAATTTAAAAAAACTTATAACCAAATAGTAAACTTTCCCAGCATGAGTTTCCACATCTCCAATTAATTGTAATTATCTTACCATGTCTGCAGATGATATAAGTAGTTGGTTTTGGTGCAGGATACTGTAAGTTTATCAGTCCGCAAGGCTCCAGACAGTTCCTCGTCTGTGGGACAGGTAATGTGCTCTCTTTATATCTGCAGAGAGGCTCACAGGTGTGTCGGTCTGACACTTATTCAAACTTAAGACGGCAGAGGAGGGAGAAGTTAGATCAAAGGAGGGAGGGATGATGAGATTCCTCCCTCAAAATATTGTTTTAGCCACTTTTTTGCTTATTACAGCACAAGAAAGCATATTTGGAGAAAATTAGACACATTAAAGATCCAGCCTCGTGTCACTGGCAGCAGTGGAAGAAGTACTCAAATCTTTTACTTCAGTAAAAGTAGCAATACCACTGTATAAAAATACTGTGTTATAAGTAAAAGTCCTGCATTCAAAAATTGACTTGAGTAAAACTACGAAAGTATTAAATGTACTTAAAGTAGTCTACAAGAAGTTCTTGTGCAGAATGGCCCATTTCAAAGTAATGTATATATGACTGAATTATAATTATGTACATTTAATTTAATGTGCAGCCGGTATGGGTGGGGCTTATTTTTTGGTAACTTTATATACGGTACTGCTGCTGTGAATTCCACCAAGGCATCAATAAAGGTTTATCTTAACCTGTAATAATTGTACAATATTTGCCTCTGTGTTGTAGTCGAGTAAATGTATAAAGTAGCATAAAGTGGAAATACTCAAGTACAAGTTCCTCAAAAAAAAAGTACAGCAGTAAATGTAATTAGTTACTTTCCACCACTGACATCATGCAAGTTTGAGGTCAACAACCAGTAAAACAGCTTATGCACTCCTTGAAACCCCTCTGTACTTTATTATCCTGTTGTGTATTTGTGCCTTTAATATTTAAAACTGTACAGTAAGGAAAGTTGATGGTGAAATGTATTTCTTCTGAGATGTTATCTTACCAAACTTACCTTCTATTAAACCTTTAATGTTTCCCTTTATCAAGAGACATACAGAAATGATCCTGTGTGGTGAGATGCTTTATCATTTTTCATTGGTTAGAAAGGAGGCTTTTCTTTGGAAACAGAGTTTTAACAGTATTTGATTGCTCATTCAGCAAATCAGACAAAGCGCCACAGGAAAGTTCCTTTAATTTTATCGAGGTAACTTTCCCGATGGTGAGGTATTTTGCCAGCTTCAACAGTTCAGTAAACATGATATCTTTCTTTTTCAGGAAACATCAGGACAACATAGTGTCCAACAGAGCTTGATTCAGCCATCAGATGAAAATACATTTGGTGAATGGAGGGTGACACACAGGGAAACACAACATTTACCAGCGTTACATTTGGTGAATTTAAGTTAGAAAGAAAGGGGGAAAATATGGTGCTGTAGGCTCAGCGATGCTTTGAGCTGAATGCTAACACCAGCATGCTAACATGCTGATGTTTAGCAGTGGTGGAAAGCACATAATTTAATTCTACTTCAGTATAATTTTGAATATTTCCATTTTCTGTTACTTTATACTTTTACTTCACAACATTTGAGTAGGAACAATTGTACCTTTTACTCCACTACATTTATTTGAAAGATTTAGTTACTAGTTCAAACGATAACATGCATTGCTAAAGATTAAACCAGTGGTTCCCAATTATTTAACTTAGGAAAGCAGTGTCTGGTCGGGCTCTCTTGTGATGTTGCTAATGTTGTTTGTTCTTTTCGTCTTTCCTACCATATTAATCATCTCAAAAGCATCCACATTTATCTTTCTTTTTATCTGACCCTTTGGAGGGGACCTATTCCTAAGTCGGGAACCACTGGACTAAATTACCAACTGTATGTACAACAGTAAAGTATTAACAATTTTAATAAGAGTCATAGAGCCCCCTTTTCTGCAGAACAAGTAATTTTAGTTTTATTACTTTAAGTTTTTTCTAAAGTAATTTTGTTGATAATACTTTGCCCTGATGATGGCGATATATAAAATGTTAAGGGATCACCAAAGTTATTAGAATTTAGTTTGAGGGGGACAAATGTCTGTACCAAATTTCATAGCAATCTATCCAATAGTTGTTGAGATTCTTCAGTCTGGACCGCACTAAATGCTTATTCTCATTAAAATAAAAGATATTGGGAGGCAGGACAGTGAAACCAGTAGATTGGTGGTGTGGACATTCAGTTTTTTCTGTCTCCATATGGTCCAATGGACAAGTTGTACAGGGATAAAATAGATGCGTCTACTCTGTACAGTCTGGTGAATTCGGAGAGCTCAAACTGCTTCTAGTGACTGATTCTCCACATTTGCTCTGTGGATGTGAAAGATGAGTTTTCTTACGCCGCTGACTCAGCGGGCGACGTGTGAAGCAAATACACAGTGTTTTGTCACTCAACAGGCGCTTACAGACTGAGAAGATGCACCACAGATAAAACATGTCAGTTCTCTGTTTATTCACTTCCCAGGCAACAGTGATGTTATGACTTTGTGTCCTACATGTACACGTCTGAATTTAAAAGCTGAGGGAAAAAAAACAAATCACATGCAACTCATACTTAGTATTTTGTGATTTTTTTCCCCCAATTGTTCCAGACGGAGGGACAAAATAATCATAATCAACTGGTACAATTCAGTCATTTTCTAAAACAATATTTATCTCTAAATATATCTTCTGAGAGCAACAGTAAGTAGTAAGTAACCATTTGTATTAAAGTGAATTTAAAACCACTGTTTACAGGAAGAATTACAAAAAGGGTTGAATTACTGACCCATTAATGACCTTGCAAATGCAGAATGAGTACACTTGATAATAAGCCAATGTACTGTAACTATCATCAAAGTCAAATGGGAGGCAACATGGATGTTCACTGTTTGATGTAGGCCAAAGTCATAAGGCATATAGCAGCAACTGGAGTCTACGTCGGCTCCTTCTTTTTATGTTTTCTTATGATGAGTAGAAATATATTGCACTTTGAAGACAAACTGAAAAAATAATCTCACAGGTAACGACAGCAACAAGCACCACCGAAGAGAGACATGCAAGTGGTGATGGGCTCCTTAGAGGCCTCTTTTGAGGTGAAGTCTACCACGGCGAAGCTGAATCTCTGTTGCACGGCCCAAGTCCCGGAGGGTTGACCATCCAGTAGAGGAGGCAGCCCTAACTATTTGCATACTGGCGAACAAACATCTCCCTTTGTGGCTCCGTTTTAGTGGCATTTTAGCAAAGTCTAGCTGCCTGTCATCCTGTCTGCTTTTCGTCTTGTGGCTCTTTATCTTGGCTAAGATCACTTTTCTCGTAGAACGCAGACACCTGCATCGCACCGTTGTGTCGCCATCGAAGTAACAACCTCCCAGGAGTCGATAACCGGGTCGTAACATTCAATACTGCTGAGAAGAGAGTTTCCATCATATCTATAGGGAGATGTGAGACAAACAAGGAGGAACTGAGAGTTTTAACCACAGCGTTCAGCACTTCTCTACACTGCAATGCTGTGCAGCCTGAACACAAGTTCACTCACACGTTAATTAGTAACCTCTCACACTACAGCTGTGAGAGCTAAACCAGCAGAGCGCAAAGGAAACATTAACAGAAACAGTGTAAGTGACTTCTGTTCAGTCGCCACTTGTGGTAATGATGTAACACAATTATCATTATTCAGATAAACTTTATAACAAAAGAACATTTCTTAAACCACTTAAAAGGATAGGTTCACAATCAAAAAGTCTATGATCAAACAATAGTCAGGTACCCATAAGAACATTAAAATAGGTATATCTTAGGTATAGGTAAATATTTGCTTGCTGTAATAATTCCTCCTGTTCATACTTGCCATTAAGAGATCTCTTCCTGAAGCGCTTTCAGTGTAAAATATAATATATTCAAAAGTTCATCTGATGCAGCCTGAGTTAGACAAATCAAGTGTGGACAAAGCAATAAACTGACACTTGATTTGGATAATTGAGACTGCTGAAGCCGTATGTTAGCTTTGGCTAAACTTCAGGATGCATTTTTTGCACAAAACAAGGACTGTGGATTTTGCTCCTGATTTCTTACAGTGTAGTCGTGCTGCGAAGGTCTCACTTCTGAGCCAGTATAGAGAGGAGGAAGGATAACAGCAACCCATAAGTCCCTCAGCATACATGTGGCATGCAAGTGTTGAAGTTAAACTTGAAGAAATTCAAACCTATCCTTCAAACCCACTGTCACAGAAAGGTCATTAGGATATTCTTTCCTACCCAGCGATGGCGTACAGACGTCCTCTGAGAACAGTTGCTCCTACATAGCATCGAGGAGTGGTCATACTGGCTACGGTGGTCCAATAGTCTGTTCTGATGTTGTAGACCTCAACAGAGTCAAGGTGTGAAACACCATCAAAGCCTCCCACTACATAGATGTGGTCATTGAGTAAAGCCACACCAGCCCCTGAAAACAGTTGCAAACTCAGTCAAACAGTAACACAGAACAGAATAGTTAGCTGTAATATTTTACTTCATTCTGCTTTCTTACCTACCTGACCGCTTGGTGGCCATCGGTGTGACACTAGTCCAGTGGCCAGTGTGTGGGTCATACCGCTCCACTGAATTCAGGATATTCAGTCCATCGTATCCACCTGTCAGAGAAATGACAAGTGTGGAGCTGCAGCGATTAATCAATTAGTCTATTGACAGAAAAATACTTGGCAACTATATTGATAATGTGATTTAGGGCTGTCCCTGTCTAAGAATTTAGTCGGGGTGGGTGGGTGGGGCGTTACACACGGCAGCTCCCCTTTAATCTTGAGAAGCTGCAGAGCTACACTCTCTGTTCATTAATCACTGGGTATGCACCTCACGGGTCTATTCGAAGTACTGTTTAAAAACGATATAATATTCTTTGTGTGGTTCGTCAATGGTGATCAATGAATTGAACGTCCCGCGAGGTGCACGGACAATTAAGCAACAACACCGGTCTGCTCTGTCTCTCTTCCTCTTCGCCTAGGCTCCTCCTATCAAAGCAATGAATCTTCGACTACTTGGGGTCACCCCTAATGTCATCATCTTCATCCTCTGGAAAAAATTGTGTTGGGCATTTTTTACTTTTTTTCAGACATTTTATAAACCAAATGATTAAGTGATTAATCAAGAATGTAAATATTTCAGACTTAGACATGTGGCCCGAACAGCATCTTTTTCTGGTAAATTACGTTTGAAAGTGGGATTGTATTATATTCTACAACTAGACTATTACCGTATTCACATCAGAAATTATTGTTGTGTATCGGTGTAACATTAGGTCTTACAGAGTGTTTTATTATGAGTTGTTAGATGCCTTACTGTTTCTAGGTTTGTTAAACAGTTCATTCCACATTTCTTTTGTTATGCTCCATTTTCTAGTTTTCCCCCTTTAAAAGTTGGTTGCGAGTGTCAAGTCCATTAATAGTGTGGGTTAGAGTTAGTCAACCATCAAAGTATTTTGTCTGCCTAGTTAAACCTACAGGAGTTTCTGAGGGCTCACGTGCCATGGAGGAAACAACTTCATGACGAGTGAAAACAAGTCTGAAGTGTATCCTGATGTCTTTACTGCAGAAATGGACCACGGACTGAATCATCTGTCAAGCTGACAAGAACTACTGCTGTCACAAAAAGTCAGAAAGTCTGAGATACGCTTAACTCTGGAGAGTTTTTACCTCTTCCAATAGCCTAACAGGAGAGATTATGAGTATGTGACTGATAGGAAAGATACACAAATGTGAGATTTATTTTTGCTTTAACGGTATTGTTTTATGTTTGACTTTTACAATAGAAAAGGCTCCAAGGACGAGGAATCTCTTGGATTAATGTTAACTCAGAGAAACCTTTCCAACAGGACTAATATGAAAGTGTATCATATCTTCAAAAAGTCTATTTTCAAAAACAAGTGTTTGAAAAAGTTTGTCGTCTTATATCAGGGTTGTCTTCTATTTAGGCCAATATGGTTAGCCAATGTCAATCATTTGCTGGTTCCAGCTTCTCAAATGTTTGGATTTGCTGCTTTTCTTTTCCCTATGAGATGGTAAACTATGAGTCTTTGGGTTTGAATAAACCACCTTAGGCTCTGGTAAACTATAATTTCTGACATTTTATAGATAAAATAATTTGCTGAGAAAACAAACAGCAATTAATTGATGATGAAAGTAATCATATGTTGTAGTCCTAATAAGTCTCGAAGTTTTCAAGGATTGGGACGTTAAGATTATCTATCCATACCTAGACAGTATATAAGTCCACTGGCCACCACTAGACCAGCTCCTTCTCTAGCTGTCTGCATGTCTCCCAGCATGCTCCACTGGTCGATGTTTGGGTCGTATCGCTCCATACTGGTATGGCGCCGGCTGCCGTCGAAGCCACCGGCAACATAGATCATGTCTGTCGAGAGCCAAACAACTATATTGTTACTGTGTACCTTTCTGAGACAGAAGAAAGGGCATTTCACAGAACACACGGGCAAAGGTGCAAGTCACTTGGCACAGCAACTCACTCACCTCCGAGTGTTGTGGCTCCAGCAAGGCCACGGCGCACATTCATGGTGGCGACGGTGTACCAAACACCGTCCTCGTCCGCGGTGTAGTCTAGGCACTCAACGGAGCTGAGCCTCGACCGGCCATCGTAGCCTCCGATCACATAAACTCGATCATGCAGAGACACAGTGGCGACGTAGCGCCTTTTCCGTGCAATGTTCTGTTTAAGACATACCTGTCTGTATTAGCCAAATATACTTAGATGAAAAAAATCTGTCAAATGTTCAATACTTACAGGAAGAAAGCTCCATTCTTGTGTTTTTGGATCATATTTCTCAACTATGTCTATTGGTGACTGTTGGCTGCCAAACCCACCTATAACCAACAGGACTTCTTTGGCACCTGAAAGGTAGAAGAAGAATAAAATCACTTTTATTATCAGTGTAGATTACAAAGTAGGTATGTAGGAGATGCGCATATAGCTATTAAAAACAGGATTCCTACCTAATCTTGCTTGTGTGCGTGGGCCCTGCATCTCACTCCTCAGCTCCGGTCTTAAGTGGAATTTCTTGGCTTCATCAACAAGGTCTCGACATGGCAGGCTACACCGAATGAGGGGCTAAAACGTGTCAAAACTTGTTTAATTATGGTGGTAACTGTGATAAACACGTCAACACATAATCCTTCATTGGAAGCTTGCCGTATGATTACAAAAACCTGCGGGGTGTCGCCTGGCTCACCTCAGCATCAATGACATCGGTAATGTAGCGGGGGGTCAGGAGCGGCATTCGAACAAACTCCAGCATGTCTGGCAGATAGGGCTCTCGCTCTTTTCGGTTGTGTTTGACCCAGTTTAACACGGCTTCAAATACAGGCTCCTCCGAGTCCACCTTCATACAAACGGCATAGAGAGTGAGAAGAACTACAGCTACCTTAAAGCCAGTAAATCCACATATTATTCAAACAATTACCTGACAACTGCGGTAAAAGATGATATTCATCAGCGATTCTACCATCCATCCATAACTATTAGCATTCATTATTCAGCCATTGCAATTGTTTTTTTAATTGCAAAGACACATTGTGCAACAATGCAGTATGGTAAATGTAAAAAAAGCCAGAAATTCTCACCCTAAAATAAAGTTGACACGAAGAGAAAGATTTTACTGAGGGCAAATTATGCGTGACTGCGATTTACATGTATGGTCTAGTTTTATTCTAAAAACAACAAAAATTTCCAGGAAAGAACCATTTGAGAGAAGTGATGATCTATAAATCTTCGTATGATAATAACTGTGTTTTCACAAATCACGGCATGTGGTTGGGAACAGGAATTTCCTGAGCACAAAGGCAAACTTAAATCAGGTTTTCTTCTCTGCAATTTCATTGTCAGCCCACTCGGCAAAAGTGAGTGGAACTGGAGAGGGGGGGCACTAACTGAGATTATAGCAGGTTGGTACATGGTTTTCTTTGTTGCACTCAGGTGCAAGACAATAAGAAAGCTGTGAGTGTCAAACTCAGTTAACACCATACTATTAAAGCTTTTCAGGCAACTTAACACCATTACTAACCATTACAGATACAGCGGGTATATACACAGATTATTGGAGAGCAGATATGCAGTTATGGTATCAGGTATTTAAAAACATCCACACAACAACTGACCAACACCAAAAAAGTACAAATGACAATGACGTCCAGTTTTCCTACCTGGATTTCATCACATTTTATAAGCTTTTCAACTTCTGTCTGGCTGAGCAGCATGAACTCCTCATGCTGAACCACCTCGGAGAAATGCTTCTGTGAAAAGAGCTCGGCAGCCTGCATCAGGTCAAGGCAATTGTGAGTTTCGGCAAAGTCACGAATACCCAGACAGTTAGAGGGATCAAGCTGACTCTCCAAAAAATCACAACATGCTCTTTTCACCCCTGAGGAAAACAAAGATACATTCGTATAAACACACATGTCTTTTTCAAATTCAGTCAAACCCTGATCGACTAGACTCTCATGTCACTCAACAACTCTGAATTTGGAAACGCTGAAGCCATTTCATTTGAAAAGTGGCGCCATTCCACTGTGCCTCAGGGATTCTAGCAGGGTTCAAGTTAAATTTAAGACTTTAAGACCTTTCTAATATATACGCATAGAATAAAATGCATTACCTGTTTCACCTGTACAATGTATGAAAGTATGATGGAAAACCACAAGGGACGATATAGCCTAGAATAATTTATTATTATTTTTCATTACTTCCCAGCAGGATATATTCCTGATTATATGATTAATAAAATTTACGTGACCTAGACTTAGGCAAGTGGCATAAAATGGATGGATTGATTAACCAATTTAATAGGATTAATTAAGTTTTTGCTAAAATTGATATCACTTGCTGCTGTAGCTAGCAGTAGTGACAGTGCTTGCAACAGATCTGATGCTGCTGAGTGAAACTCAGGACCCACAACCCACAACCACAGCAATTCCACTTCTTTTAGTATAGGCGTAAGCTATAATGTCTCTCATAAGCCTGCTACCTGATACGAAAACATTTTATAGCTACCACTACTGCCTATGGCAGGGAAGAGATAACCTTTAAGACTTCTGTAAATTAAATGTGATTTTTTGAGGATCCTGAATTTGATGCTTTTTAAGACTTTTCAAGACGTGCAGATACCATCTGCCAATATTCATAATGTAATGCAACGATATCAGCTGGCTTAAGAACATACTTTTCAAATCAAGGTACAGCAGGCACTCCTAAACTTACCTTTGAGCTGTAGCAAACACGCTGCAGGGAGCAGTTCCTGTACATTCTCCACTGTGACTAACACAGTCTCTGTGTAGACAAAGTCCAACAGGATCTCCATAGTCGCTGCAGTGAGCCCTTGGATGTCGACAAAAGATTTCCCCTTCTCTGCAAGCTGCAGGTCCACAAAAACACATAGTATCAGGTGTAATGACAAGAAACATTTCATTAAGGGATTTGTTCTAAGCATTTGTTATCATGCTGAAACTATTCTGTTTTGTCAACTGTGTCTTCTTTGGTAAATTAAAACACTGCCTCAAGCCAAAAAACAGAGTGAATAAACAGATCATATTCAGATAGGTAACTTGGACATATTTCCCCTTATTTTCTTAATTCTATCAAACCATATGTAATATGCTTCTTTGTTAGCACTGAGCACTTTTTAGTGTTACCTCACTGGTGAACATTGCACAAAAGTAGTCACTGCAGGCAGCCAAGACAATCCGGTGAGCTGGAAAATCTGTGTTCTCCACCCTCAGAGTGATATCGCAGAGTGTGTTGCTCTTTCGAAGCGAGTTCATTGCATTGAGGATGGATTTGGCATGGGAATTGGTCATGATGTCCTTGGGAGCCATGCTGCCTTGATAATCTCTCTGAGATCTCAGACTACTCCAGGAATCTAAAATAGATAGACAACTCAGTGTTCAATACAGCATTTGTACATACAGCACTTATTACATGTGTTTTATCATTTGGTGAGTCAGTGTTTGTGTATATATGTGTGTGCATTAAACAGACAGAAGACTGTAGCATAGTGACATGCATTTTTGGTGTGAGTTAGAAAGCTCGAGAAACAAAGATTGAAAGTAAATTTAAGTGTAACTGTAATGTCCAATTTGTGAGATTTACACAGCTTTTTAGAGGCAAATATTAGACGCTATGTTAGTTTATTTCATTGTCTGATAGCTAACGTTATAGTCAGCAGATTAAGATTGTTCATGCAAAACAGCTAGTAAACATAAAGTAAAAAATTGTCTTTCTTCAGGAACAGGATTTTAAACTTTGATCCAGAAATATGTTTTGTTGCTAATACTTGAGTGTTTCATTTGTGACATTTAGAATACAGGGCTTATACTTTATAAATGTGTAATTGTGCACATTCCTAATGCAACTTACCGTTAAAAGATTTGAATACTTTTTCCACCACTGGGAGGCAATAACTATAGCTACACATTAGCAAGCAAGCAGCTAACGACAGCTGAGGGCTAACGCCAACGCTAGACAACTAAAGAAAACACAGCCATATAAAGTGAACTGGAGCCCAGCGGAAGACAACACATATAGCGACACACACAGAAGAACTTGTCAAGAATTTACATAATACCTGTCGCTGCAGTAAGGCTGATTCAAAACGTTTAGCTAAGTTGCGTTGCTAGCTAGTAGCACCAAAGTCCCTTGTCCCAGTTCTTGCTGTCAGTCACACTGTGTGGAGAAAGCTACTGAACCAACAGCTAATCCATGATGACCCTCTGCTAGGTCACACTATGCGGACATATATATCTGGAATTTTAAAATAATTTCATATCGCATCCCCAGTATGAGTTTTAACCAGCTAGAATATTTCGTTGACTAAAGCTGCAGCAGAGACTCCACAGATTGGACGTAAACAGACCGTTACGTGACTGTACGTGAGTTGTACGTGCGCGCTCCAGGCGCCTACGTTCAAGATACAAGATGCCTTCCGCGCGTTCCCGCTAGTTTGTCTCTACAGCTGCCGTAGGAATGGTAAAGTGACTGTATCATACAAAGTGACATATCCTGGTTTGTTAAGGATTTACAAATCCAACTTCACACCCCGAGAACCCGGAGCGGAATATCATCTCTTAAAAAAACCCTCTTTTTTTAGGCACCAGAGGACGGCAGCGACACCGTGTAGGAGGAGCCAGCGGCGTGTTTCCGCTAAAACCAGGCCGAGAGAGGTAATACGGTAATCTATGCCGCCGTACTGAGAATTACACAGAATAGTGGCGGAACAGTCGCAAGATACTGCGGGACGCTTTTAAGAGTACACCGTGTTTAATCACTGGGGAGCTGCGGTTGTCCATATCTGGGGAAGAAGAAGGAGTGGCAGCTGGACTGTCAGCAATGGAAGCCGAGTTTCTGGAAATCGATGAAACCGGGAGTTGGGGCGCCGTTTATCAGGTAGGACCCTCTCAGCAAATCAAGGTGGAAATGGACTGCTGGTGAAGCTGCCACTTTTTTTTTTTTTTTTTTAGGCCAAATGATAGCTTATGCACAGCGAGTCTGCAGCGGCCTAACATCAGCAAACGTTAACATTTCTGTCGTTATCAGCCTTGTTCCGTCTTTAGTTTTAGTCGGACCAATACGATGATTGATGTGTCTGCCTGGTTCTCGAGCGAGAAAAGCACGTCCAGTCGCTGAACTGTTACTTTGTATCTGTCAGGCAAATTGTAAATGTTGGTGTCCGTTGTCACTTTTTGTTGCACGTGTTTTTGACATAAATATTTCAGCTTTCAGTCACTTATTGTTCAGTTACCTTCAGGGCTTTGTCCACAGTTTCTTAAACAAAATATCAGTTCACTACAGCTCAGCTTGAGTCAGCTGGTATTATTATATTTTTACAGGTTATTTAGACATGTTCAATACCCGACTCCTCACTCACACACTCACACACACACACACACACACACACACACACACACACACACACACACACAAGGACACTTTCAGGGAGTATATATAAATATCTACAGCGAGAGAACGCACTTTTACACATAATTAAACATAGGATTAACATTTATACATTCTTATAATCTGTTTTAAAGCATATAACAGCCATGGGAGACAGTCTGCACCGGTTGCATCCTTTAATGTGATATAAATGTATTGTTCATGTATTGCTATATGCGCTTATTTTTTATTTATGCTGTCACAGGAGATTCGTCAGCAGTCCTGTGAACTCCCTTGCAAGGTTGCCAAATTACCTGAAAACAAGAATCGGAATCGTTACAGAGATGTTAGCCCATGTAAGTTGCTCTTTTTTTGCCCGTCTGAATGCACTGGACAGAACAGTCTTTAACATTTAAAATAGTCATTTAAATTGATGGCAGCTCTGTAATCACCAACTTAATGTTACACAGTGGCGACTTATTCTTAAAAGTTACAGCAGCATCAACACTGTTTCTAAGCTGTACAAACATGCCAGTGTACTGCTGTTTGACCTCAGGTGCAAGCACTGTAATAATAATTTGAAATAACACAATGGCAGTATTATGCAATAGTCGGAGAGCTCACTGTGGAGGGGCGGACGTAATAAAGGATGTGCTTTCCAATTCATAACTTTTGGCCTCTTTTCAAGAGCAGCAAATGTCTTACTGTGTATTTATTAAAGGTGTTCGTATGATAATAGTGCATGTAGGTCAAGCTACATAACGCAGGCATCTTCTAAACCATATTATGTAGGCTGGCTTTTATGTACTCTTCAGTCACACCCATTAGCATCTTTAATATTTTTAAGTCCATTTTATTGTGTTTATTAGTTTATTTAAAGGGGACGGTGCATATTTGCACCCATATTCCCGACACAACTAGACAGTGACAACAGATTAAAAGCTTTAAAACAAGTATAAAACACTAAACAAGTTAGTGTGGATCTATAAAACATCACATTATTCATGAGTACGTGTCTCAGTAGATTTTAAGTTTGATTTAAAACTGCTGCGTATTCCTTCTAACCATGCATTTTATTCTGGAAAGCTCTTTGTAAACACCGTCTAAGACATTGGTTCTCAAACCCCCTCATTTAATTGTTATTGTACCGTATATCTTTTTTTGATGATCACTTCAGTCATACAGTGCATTTGACTACCGATGTGTCTTTTTATGTAAGCATAGCTATTCGGTGAACATTGTAGTTCAGTGTTTGAATAATTATTCAGTAAATGTTTATTTCTGGAAAGTCACAGTGCAACAGCTGAACTATATGTGGTTTCCCCTTTTTCACACTAAATAAGCTATGCAAATTGTGCCGACCGGGTTGCAAATAGTTACCGTATATGCCATCAAGCGTGTGTCTTGATATTTACTTTTAACAAGGTGTGAAAATCAGTAACCTGAAACCAGTCATGCTGTTTACTTTTTAACTGAAATATTCTTCCACTGCTTATCAAAAAAGATGACGTTTTCCACCTCAGTATTAAAACCATAAGCTGACACCTGTGTTTTGTCCGAAGACAGACTTGTCCTATGTTCTCAGCAGCTGTGTTAGTGTGAGAATTGCATTTCTTGTCCCCGGGGGGTTGTGACATATTAAAAACACACAAGCATATTTTCATGATTGTTTTTTTTTCTCTTCTCCTCAGTTGACCACAGCAGAATATGTCTGCAGCTGGGTACGAATGACTACATTAATGCCAGCCTAATAACAGTAGAAGAGGCACAGAGGAAATACATTCTTACTCAGGTAAGCATGGAGAAGATTCAGCACACTCCTCTGGAAATGTTGTAGTCAGATGGTAATCTTACAGTAATCTTAGTCATCAGTAAATATAAAAACATCATAACCTTCACGAAGGGAGGATATTTCGGAGGACTGTTGTATTAGGCTGCATTAGTTTTACCTAAGTGTACATAATTAACTGGCAACTGAGTGTGTAAATATTTAATGAATGGTTTATAACAAATGATAATGTAGTTGTAAACAGATTGAAGTTTTTATTAATATATTTGTCAAACACTAACTCCTCTCTCCTGCGGGAACCTACAAGTGTAAGCTGGTGTATATAGAGTTAATCAATGACAATATAGTAAAATACAGATGATAAAAATATAAAATATCATCTTTGGAATTGCTGTACTTTATTAAGCACTTAAAAAGTTCCATACCTGTGTATAACTATGTTATAGTGTGTTAAAAAACATTTATTAAATAAAATGTTGTATTTCAATATTTACAACAAATTCCACTGTGCTTTACCGTCTCATGTTTGGTTCATGTGCATTTCCAACATCTTTTTTATCATTTTATCATCAGATTATCATAACACATTTTAACAGAATTAACATAGATCCAATTAATATTTTAACCCCAAAAAACACGCACAAAAGGCGAAAGTGCTTTTAAAAGCATTGGAAGTTGCCTGAGGCCCAAGGCAACTTGTGTAGCATGAGAGGAAAAACAGTGAGCTCTTCCAAAGCAGTCTTCTTTTTTTAAGAATAGTATGATCTGCAGTATCAAGTGCCTTGCTGAGATCTGTACCATTTTTTTTAAGTTATACTAACAACTCCCCCACCCCCCCACTGTTTTAACACAACAGTCATTATCTTTCAGGGACCCCTTCCAAATACATGTGGCAACTTCTGGGAGATGGTTTGGGAGCAGAGGACCCGCGGTGTGGTGATGCTGAACCGAGTCATAGAGAAAGGATCTGTAAGCATTGTTTACTCTTCTTAATGTGTGATATATTCATTATGTCTTCTTTGCCCCAGTAACCCCATTGCTGTGCTCTTACTGTTATGTTACGTGTTATGTGCACCTTCATTTGGGTTTAGGTTAAATGTGCCCAGTATTGGCCACAAAGAGAGGAGAAAGATGCTGTCTTTGAAGATACCAATTTCAAGCTCACCCTTGTCTCAGAAGACATCAAATCTTACTATACAGTCCGTCAGCTGGAGTTGGAAAATCTGTCTGTAAGTTGCTGTTTTGTGCCTGTGTGTGTGTTTGAAAAAGAAACACGTCTCCAGATCAGAACTACACCCTTTTAATACTTGGTGCATGTGAGTCCATGTCTTTTCTTTGGTCTTTGAATTCTTCTGATCTTCTTTTACAGACTCAGGAGACTCGTGAAATTTTACATTTTCACTACACCACCTGGCCTGACTTTGGGGTACCAGAGTCTCCTGCCTCCTTCCTAAACTTCCTGTTCAAGGTGCGAGAGTCGGGTTGTCTGAATTCAGACCAGGGTCCAGTGGTGGTGCACTGCAGTGCCGGCATCGGACGCTCTGGGACCTTTTGTCTTGTGGACACCTGCTTGTTATTGGTTTGTACGATTTCTGCTATTGAGAAATAATGACTTGCACACACTGTATATTTTGTACCATTTTTGTTGACATTGTACTGGAATGAATAGTGTTTTTATTTTGGTGTAAGTGCAATAGTAGAAAAACACAAAATTCATTAATAGTTGTAACAAACAACAATTCAGGAAGAGTTTAAGCGGGTCTGACAATCATGCTATTAAACTCAACAATTATATTTAGAAGCTAAAGTTTGATTACTCAGTCTAGACTCTTATGTACTGGATGTTGTTGCTTTCATATGTAGATGTCAATTCGTAAAGACCCGTCTTCAGTGCGCATTCGTGATGTACTGCTGGAGATGCGACGCCATCGAATGGGCTTGATACAGACAGCAGATCAACTTCGCTTCTCCTACCTTGCCGTGATTGAAGGTGCCAAGTACATCAAGGGAGATACATCTCTGCAGGCAAGTCCTCCTCTATTATGTTCTTTGTTCTTCAGGTACAAATTTCAATTCCGATTAAGAAACTGCCTATGCACAACTTGCTATATGTGCTATAAGAGATAAAAACATTGTTTTGTTTGTCTTTTTCAAGGAGTCATGGAAAGCGCTCTCAAATGAGGAAGATGATCCTCCAGAGTTCACCCCCCCTCCTCCTCTTCCTCCTCCTAGAGACCCACATAACGGCAAAGTTGAGCCATCCTTTTTCCCCGAAAATGTTGAGATCATCCAACAGATGGAGATCCGCAGTCTGGGGTAATCATCCTAATAATGTTTTTAAAAGATTTTATTTCAGTTTGTCTGTCATCACTGGATTAAATTATTGAAAAAACAAACAGAACAGTATTAGGTTGTGCCAGCTATTTGTAAACCCATCACTAACTTTCTTCCTTCCTAAGTTTGTAGTAACTGCGCTCCAATTGACTATGCTACTTGTTGCGTAACGGCTGGGAATAGAGTGAACAATTAATCAAAATCTCATCGACATCACAATATGGCCTACTGCAAACTTCAAATCACAGGAGGTGCAATATTGTTGTTGCTATATTTCCTGGCCTTCATATCATATTCTACATCTTGGTTTGGTACAGATCCTTGCAAAAATCACACCATAATCATTTAAATATGTTTTTCAATGAAAATGGGAATAATTATGTAAAAACAACCATTCCCTCTAAAATCGTAAATTGCATGGCAATTGCAATATCAGTGGAAATGATCGCAATAAGATTCTTTTTTTCAAAATCGTTCAGCCCTAGCTGAGTACAGGTGGCATATAAACAGGCAGGTGCAGTATTGACTTTCTATCAGCTGATAATCAAACAGCAGCAGGTGATAGAAAAGCTGTGCTAAACTTCTGGATTCAGTCACTACAATCCGTGTGAAAAATGTGTTTTTAGTTTGTTTTTTTCCTCAGCGCTGTTGGTACATGTGGTAGTTTGTTTACTTGCGACACAGAGCTGTCAGTTAAAGTTGGCACAAGTTGCCGTTTTATGTGCCTAATTGAAACCAGGAGTCCACCCAACAACTACTCAGCTCATTTGAAACCAGTGATTTACTAAATCAGATTGTGCCATTTAAACTTAAACGTCATAGCTAGTCAGGGCTTAAGAAATGGGGATGAACCGAACCGAATGTTCGTCCATCGAAATTAATCGGCTGAAAATAGCAAAAAAGCACATTCGGTGTTCGGCCTAATAAGTCAAAAGGTCGAAGAAATTTTACCGAACAATTACGTTGACATGTCGGCAGTGTGGAAACAATTTTAAAGTGTCTGAGAAAGAAGCAAAAATGGCCGTTTGCAGACACTGTTCTGCTGCATTGTCTCCTAGCACATCCACTTCATCTGTGGCTGACTTCTTTGAAAAGGCAACAAACGGTCTGACCCGCTGAGTGTTTCAGTCACTCGTTTCTGAGAAGGTGATTAAGTTAACCGCACCTAAATTTGGAGTTCACACGTATTGAAGCCTTTATGGTAAATCCACTGAAACGGACTAGTGCGAGCTGACAGGCAGGTTAGCGACGTTATCCTGTCATTTTCTGTCTTTACAAAGACAAGTGTTGCAGTATGAAAGTCCTACCTGAAGAGAGGCTGTTAAGTCTTCATGTTACGCGATATGGGAATCAAATTGGGTCGGACTTGATGAATTTAATGCAAGGATACACATGTGACAATGTTCGGTTTTCAAAATAAGGTGTCTATACAGTATGGCAATAAGATTAATTGGATTATATTCGCAGAAAGAATAAAACATTTTACATGCGTACATTAAAAGTAAATACATATACACTGCTCAAAAAAATAAAGGGAACACTAAAATAACACATCCTAGATCTGAATGAATGAAATAATCTCATTAAATACTCCTTTCTTTACATAGTTGAATGTGCTGACAACAAAATCACACAAAAATTATCAATGGAAATCAAATTTATCAACCCATGGAGGTCTGGATTTGGAGTCACACTCAAAATCAAATTGGAAATCCACACTACAGGCCGATCCAACTTTGATGTAATGTCCTTAAAACAAGTCAAAATGAGGCCTGGGCATGCTCCCGATGAGGTGGCGGATGGTCTCCTGAGGGATCTCCTCCCAGACCTGGACTAAAGCATCCGCCAACTCCTGGACAGTCTGTGGTGCAACATGGCGTTTGTGGATGGAACGAGACATGATGTCCCACATGTGCTCAATTGGATTCAGGTCTGGGAAACGGGCGGGCCGGTCCTTAGCATCAATGCCTTCCTCTTGCAGGAACTGCTGACACACTCCAGCCACATGAGGTCTAGCATTGTCTTGCAGTAGGAGGAACCCAGGGCCAACCACACCAGCATATGGTCTCACAAGGGGTCTGAGGATCTCACATGGAGGGCTGTGCGCCCCCCCCCCCCCCCCAAGAAATGCCACCCGACACCATTACTGACCCACCGCCAAACCGGTCATGCTGGAGGATGTTGCAGGCAGCAGAATGTTCGCCACGGCGTCTCCAGACTCTGTCACATGTGTCACATGTGTCACATGTGCTCACTGTGAACCTGCTTTCATCTGTGAAGAGCACAGGGCGCCAGTGGCAAATTTGCCAATCTTGGTGTTCTCTGGCAAATGCCAAACGTCCTGCACGGTGTTGGGCTGTAAGCACAACCCCCACCTGTGGACGTCGGGCCCTCATACCACCCTCATGGAGTCTGTTTCTGACCGTTTGAGCAGACACATGCACATTTGTGGCCTGCTGGAGGTCATTTTGCAGTGCTCCTCCTGCTCCTCCTTGCACAGTGGCGGAGGTAGCGGTCCTGCTGCTGGGTTGTTGCCCTCCTATGGCCTTCTCCACGTCTCCTGATGTACTGGCCTGTCTCCTGGTAGCGCCTCCATGCTCTGGACACTACGCTGACAGACACAGCAAACCTTCTTGCCACAGCTCGCATTGATGTGCCATCCTGGATGAGCTGCACTACCTGAGCCACTTGTGTGGGTTGTAGACTCCGTCTCATGCTACCACTAGAGTGAACTGTTGTCTATTCCATTTGCACAACAGCATGTGAAATTGATTGTCAATCAGTGTTGCTTCCTAAGTGGACAGTTTGATTTCACAGGAGTGTGATTGACTTGGAATTACATTGTGTTGTTTAAGTGTTCCCTTTATTTTTTTGAGCAGTGTAATTTACTTTACCAAACCCTCTTGGGCCTTGGACCCATCCACCATAGTTTCTTCAAATCCTGTGGGAAACACTGAGTAAAAAGCACATTTTGATTATTTGGATTATTTGGAATGATTTTTAAAAAAGGCAAAATAAATGGAAAAAATGTGAATGTACTTGTTCGATATTCAGCAAATTGTTTCATTATATTCAGTTTCGGCTTCAGCCAAGAATTTTCATTTCGGTGCATCCTGTTCGAAGAAATGTTTAAATCGGTTGCTAGGAAACATTTGTAGCACTGTCCAATCAAAAGTAAACAACCTTGGAATCAGAAAGTCACTGTAGTAGCACGAGCTGTAGCGTTTTGGAAGTTATGCTGCAGCTTAATTGTGATATAATGAACACCTGACAAAAAGTTGTAAATGTAGTTATGACTCTGTTATTTCTATGTGCATACATGGAGAAATGTGAGAGTTAGTAGTATTCATGCAGTTTAGAATGAGTGGAAAATATCTCATTATGCTAACCTAACTGATATTATTTGGTTATTAAGTCTAATGTCACTGGCATTATTTGATGTGTGCTATGTTAGTGAAATGTAAATTAAAATATTTATAATAATATAAATAATAATACCACTAAGCAAGAACTAGTTTGTGTGGTTTAACCCATTTAAATTTAGTAAATACTTTACAAATAGGCTACTTTTGAACTTCGAGCTGGTGCAACTGGCTCCAGGAAGGAAAAATCCTTGCATCTTCCAAATGTTATCCATCCAGTCAAACCAAACTACACCAAATTGCCACATGGGGGCATTAAAGCTTAACTTTACTCTCTTAAATTCTTTCCTCACTCAGTTCCTCACAAGAGTCTGAGCTGCGAAAGAGGAACATTCCTGCCCCTCAGCCGCCTCCTGACGATGTTGGTAGCCACATGGAAATCCAACATCATGCCTCCGAAGCTTCAACCAAATCCCAGCAGCAGCATGAGACCAAGGAGCAGGAGCTGCCCGAGGCAGTGGAGCAGCCAAAGGAAAACCCTCCTGTGCCGGGGACTTGGTCCCCTCTAGTAACCAACGTGTGCCTGTGCACTGCACTGGCACTCGGTGCTTATGCCTGCTATCGAGCCTATTTCCACTGATGTCTGTCTTTCCTCCTCCTTTTTGTTCCTCTATCTCTCCACTGATGTTGCAAAGTGGACTAGGCTGGCCAATCAGCCTGATTTGACTCTGGGTTTACTCTGCGATTGAGTGGATTATTTGGACTTCAGCAGATTCATGTTCACTCGTCTATTTTACAAATGCAGTGTGAGAGGTTGGCTGGTTGGGAATAACACCCAAACGTTCTTTCAATATGTCATCTCGGATGCTCAGGGCCTCAGTTTTTCAGGTGTCACATCCCAAATACGTGTGCCGACTTAAACGTAGACTCAACAGATGATACATTTCCCGGTCTGTAGAGGAAACAAAGGGTTTGGTTTTAGCTCCCCTGTTCTGTGAATCAGGATGAATGGCCTATCAGCCCATTTTACCTGTGTCTCCTCTCTTTACCAAATGTGTATGTGATCTTCCATTTCATCCTTTACTGAGGTGTCCGTTAAGATTTCACTTTTGTTTGCTGACATGAATGGATAAGAAATCATAGAGCCAGATTTTTTTATCAGCCTGTCTGAAAATATGCCAGTAAGGGAGACAAATGTTTGTTCTTTTGTTGTGGGTTAATATTAAACCCAACAGTAAGGTGAAATATATGAAACTAAGAGGGAAGCAATCCTGTGCCCACTAGATAAGAGATGCATGCTGGGGTGGTAATTGAATTGTTACCTGTCCTCACTAGTGGCCTGTGTAGGGCTGCAGGAGGCATGCTAGTTGAGTACATACAGTAAGTGTGTGGTTTTGTGTGTTTGTGTATGTACATTTGCACGAGTGGTAGTTAGTGGGGCTTTCTACTGATGCTTGAGTTAAATCTACTCCGTGAGAAATATTAACATTTACGTCAAATGTGAGATGTAGACTGGGTTTCCTACCAGTAACTGATTCCCTCTTGAGTTTTCTGTCCCCGTTGGCTCAGCAGTGACACGTCTCTTTGAAAACAAAATGGTGCAGGGGCAGGGTCACATGTCTCGTTCTCCAAACGCCATATTGACAATGGAAAAAATCTTGATATCTTGATTTTTTTATTTTGTTTTTGGAAGGTTAGAGCACCTGGCTTTTGCTTAGTCACTGTTTGCAAGAACATCTTATCAGTCACATGGGATAAAAATGTGTGGAGGCTTTTCCTGCCGAGAGAATGTGTAACATAACCTGAATGCAACTAATATATGTTGTAAAGTAATTTGTGTTCAGTCAATGGAGTTGTGCACGAGAATGCCAGCTTTATGAAACATGAAGTAGCTAACACCCAACTCCTTTCGCCAGCAATACAAATTATTGTGTCACCTTTTATTTTATCAAACTCTGAGTTTGAACAGGGAACCAGGGATTTTGAACAAACCAAAAATCAAACACCAGCACAGGGATGAAAACAATACACTGTAGTGATGATCTGTTGTACTATGGCGTGGCCCTGAGCTGGCAATATTAATTTGTATGATTTTACTTTTTTTTTAAGCATGCTGAATTTGTGAATCAACAGGTTTGTCCTAAAGAGATTAGCTAAGCTGCTAGCATTCAGTTTACCTTCGTGACTCCACAAAGTTCAGTTCGTGAGTCCGACAGCTGTACCTTTCTTTAGAATGTATACATGTATGTCCTCTCCAAGGAGACGATCTTATTAGATATATATAATTTTTATTTTTTTTCAAATCAGGTTACAGTGTGCTGAGGTGTTTTTTGTTTTTGTGTTGTTGTTTTTTTTGCTTTAGCAAGGGATTAAGTCTCAGCAACCTGTGGAGCCACTGCATTAGTTTTTCCTGTTTTTCTATACTAATGCTGAGCTCAAAAACATGTATTTTTTTATTTACATTTGTTTTCCTTTTTAAATAAAAAAACAAGTCTACTGTTGATTTACGTCTATAACCTCATTCTCAGTCTTACTTCTAAACGATGGCTATGGTAATAAAACGTCACACATCACTGTGTTTATATCTCATTGTTGGATCGATAATGCAAGTAGTTGAGGCTGATGGTGACTACTTGTTTTGAATCAGACCGTACTAGAAAAACTGAATGTGTCACAGAAACACACTTTTCTCATACCTTTATTTAAATTTATACAGAGAACAAGCTGCTTGTTACAGCAGAGCTCATGTCCAACACCTTGTGAGGGTACCAAAGCACTAATCGGCTGCATGAAGTTTGCATCTTCCATCATTGAAGTCATTTCAGTGTTTCCACATGTCTTTGTTTATGACCTGAATGAGCAGATGGCTTTTCCACTTTTCAGTTAGTCATCATGAGTTACTTCAGATATTACAATGAAGGTGTCACAAACTGAATGCCTTAAAAAACAATAATATTTTGTATTATTTTAATCTGACCTGTTGCAGCTACTTACATAATGTATAGTAAGTAAGCAAAGAAAGGGTATTTATATAGGACCTTCTGAACACTGAAAAAAATCAAAGTGCTTTACAGAAGATGGAGAAATGGATTAAAACTTTAAAAACACAAGAAAAGGAAAATAAAATCCAAGTAAAAGAATATAATGTTGGAAATAAAATAAGATAAAATGAAATACAGTTATACATAAAATAATACACATGAGATAAAGCTATAGTGCAGTTAATTTGTTGCTCCAAATTCAATAATGCAAATAAAAGTGCAGTAGAGAAATCAATCAAAAGCACAGGAGAACAGCAGAGTTTTAAATTTAGATTAGCATTTGAGTGCAGTTTTTAGATCACCAGGAGGCTGGTTCCATCTCTGCAGTCTTTTGTTCTGACTTGAGGTGCTGCCAATCTTCAAGACCTACTGGGTTTTAATATTTATTATATATTTTGGCCGAAGGCTGTTGAGTGCTTTACAAAATAGCAGCAGCACTATTATTACTGTAAAATCTATTCTCTAACTACCTGACAGTGAGAGTGATAACAACTGCAGTAATGTGATCAGTTCTCCTGGTTCTTGTCATTTTAATTATAATCAGTATCAAGTTAGTCAATCAGTGAAATGCTGCTGCACTAAAACAAACAAAAAAAGGCCCAGAAGTATTGGTACTACTTTATAAAAAGGTGCCTTTTATATAATAATTTTCTAATGCTTATAGATCACTTATAAAACATAATTAGAACACATTTTGAGTTCCCAGATTAACTCATTAATACTTGCTTGTTTTTTAATTACTCAATAAAAAAATTATTTACTTACAGTTATATATGATATAAAGGCATTTCTAAAGGGTTGTATTAATTCACTCAGCAGTGTTAATAAGTTAGTAATAAATAGATTTTGGTCCATGTGGTCAAACAGTTGACCCAGTCAATTTGAGTCTTCACGACCCCAAAAAAGTCATTATTGATGGTTTATAACTCATCTGTAATAAAGACATGGGTAAATTATTTATTAAGAATTAATAAAGCCATTTGTTACAATACATTTTATTTATTGTGTTGCAGAAAAAAGGTTTGAGTGCTTTAGTTAATTCTCTGCTTCCAGGGTGAAGTGCTGTAAAAACGCCACAGGGTGGCTCTGTAGGATTGTGAAATCGATTGAGTGACTATGGCGCTTTGGCTTTTGCTGCAACCCACTCTTTCCTGTTTTCTGTATTGAACCTGGGTTTGCTCATCAATTATGTTTTTAGTTCCAGTGAACTGGAGTCAGGAATGTTTTTCCACTGGCTTCAGTTTTTTAGGGTGAAAAGTGATGCTGCACGCCACAAATATTGCTCTCATTTTATTAAACCACAGGCATTACTGATGAAAATTTGTTTCTCAATACACACAAGTTCCTATTAATACACAAACACACAAAATTATAAAGCTGATGTCCAAACTGCTCCACTAAACAAGGCCCAAGATTGAAGTTTAGGTTTAGATCGAGGTGAATGCTAAAGGAAGGAACAACATGTCTTGAGACACAGGAATTGCTTGAGTAAATTCCACCACACTGTTGTAGTACAGATGATTTGGCAACAGTCCTGGCTAGAACTTCCTGTTTGGGAAATAAGAGGCAGGCACTGGTACGTGCTGTACAGGAATGCAACTTAAACAGAGTGAGTAATAGCACCACCACCACCACCACCACCACCACTGTGTTGACGTCAAAGTGAACAGGCAAGACGGAACAAGCTGGACTCACCTACAGTAGGAAAACTACAATCAAGGTGTGACCAGGGGCCGGAAGTCTTCTTAAAGCCACAGTTGTTTTTGAAAGTGCGCACAGCCTGATCTGACAGTGTTGTCATGACTCATGCTCTTTGAGTTTTGTCATTTCGTAACTTTACTAATTGTAAATAAGTTAAATGTCATTTTGAATGTATGTCATATCTATTTACGTCATCTATCCTGCCTACACATTTTAATGTTCTTTATTTTGGTAGGAAATTCAATACCAGACTATGACAGCTCCCCAAAAACAAGTGACATGAACAGATGTCAAAAGTGCACTATGTGTTGTCCCACAGTGCCGACTTACTCAGCCATATTGTGCACACTGCTGACTCCACATTCACAGTTGACCCAAAAGGATATCTGCCCTGCCTTGCTGACTCTTTCAGCATGTGTCCTCAGTTTAGTTATTAACCTGGAACTTCCCAATGGCTGGCCAGCTGTGAGGGTGGGTGGGACGATCTTTTACTGTAAGCCTCTTTTGTAGCCTGCAGATCTTTTTCACAGGGAGCCGAGCAGGGATCAGGAAATTCCTGAATGTGAGGGGAGTCAGATCTTTCCAAGTGTGACTCTGCAAAGTCTGAGTCACGAAGAGAAACACTCCAGGGCTGTACAATAGAAGCTTGATACCAGGAAGTGTGAGTACACTGTCAGGTGTACCATGTTTCTTCATGCCCTTATCATTTCAAAACCTATGAAATCCAGGGGAGTGACTCAGTATTAGACAGCTTTCAGTATTGACCTGTGGTGAAAAGTAACTCAGCACATTTACTCAAGAATTGTACTTAAGCATGAAGTACTTTTTACTCCATTATATTTATCTGACAGCTTTAGTTAGTAGTTACTTCTCAAATTCATACTTTGCATTAAAAAACACAAGCTTATAAAATACAATGTATTGTTAAAGGAATAGTTTGAAATTTTCTGAAATGCACTTATGTGTCTAGTTAAGACAATCAGTATGTCTCCTGTCTGTACTTTAAATATGAAGCCGCCAACCGGTTAGCATTGCATAGCATAAAGACTCGAAACAGGGAAACAGCTAGCCTGGCTCTGTTCAGAGGTAACAAGATCCACCTACCAGCATCTTTAAAGATTAAACCAGTGATTCCCAACGTCTTTGCCTCCTCACTAAAAAGGCAGTGTCTAGTTGGGGCCCCTTTCCAGCAGTTAGCTCCAGTGGAGAGAGATTTTCTAAATCTAAACTTAAACTCAGATGGTTTAATTCAAATAACTGTTAAGGGCCGAAAGAGGTTAAAGTTATGTGCAGATGAACTTTATTGTTTCTTCTTTCCTACCCCATTTTTGATCTCACGACCCCTCAGATTTATCTTGTGACCCTTTGGAGGGGCCTCACCCCTAGGCTGTGAAATACTGGGCTAAACTACAGATGGGGACCAAAATAGGCGGAAAAAACCTGAATAAAAGAGAAAGAGAAACATATCAAATACAAATGTTTCTGTGCTCCAGGGCTCACTAAATGGTTTGTTAAGTTTAGAAATGATGTGAATAAAACACTACGGCCTTTACAGTCACCAGATCTCAGCCTAGTTTAAGACCTTGTAGAAGACCTGTGTAAGACAATGCTCTCCACCACTTTCTCCATAACACCAAATGATAAAATATGAACTTTAATCTTCAAATCTATTTAGTGACGTCTGTGACTGTCTCTGATGCTATTTGTCCTTTTGTTTTACGACTGGCTATGTTTGTTTTTCTTTCTATCTGCTGTACTCAGCTCGCTCTTGAAAAAAAAAATCCTGATCTCAATGCAATTACCTGATTAAATAAAGGTGTTATATCCAAATGATGGAAAAACAGGTGGAGGAATAGTGTTCATCCCAGAGTTCCACAAACTCAAAGCTCTGAAGGTGCCGCCTACCATACTGAGACACAGGTTTTTCCTGTAGCTAACTGTATATAAGATATTTAAAACTAGCTCCACCTCAACCTGCTAGATCAGTGATACTAATCACTAATCAGTCACAGAGGCCATTTTTCTGCAAAACAAGTACTTTTACTTTTGATCATTTGTGTACATTTTGCTGATAATACCTCTGCACTCAAGTGTGATTTTGAAGGCAGGACTTCAATTTGCAATGGAATATTTTTACATTGTGGTACTACACTGGCAACAGCCCACCCTTTATTCCTTGCATAAACATGGTGATCTATCTTAAGAATATAGCTGTTTTTCCTAACCACACTGAGCAATTGTTTTTTCTCAAATGTAAAAGCTACGTGTTATTGTTGTTCTCATTAAACTGCAGTGTCTCAGTCAGAGGTTGATGGCTTTGGTTACGTCTGTTGAGACATTCACCCATAAGCAGTTCCTGTTCCTGTTCCTGTCCCCCTAGCTGCTGCTGTTGAGGACCAACGGTTAAGACAATGTGACATACAGAACTGTCATAGGCTAAGTTCGCGCATGTAGGTCATAGCATAAATAACTGGTGCTTCCCCTGGTGCTTTGAAATCCACATCCTTTCTCTTACACGCAGCAAAGCGTGATGACGGCAACATCAGTCCACATGTAAACAAAGCTGGCTGACCTGCCTGCCTAACCACAGATGTCACCATGGTGTTCTTTTGGGTTGTTGTTGATGTTTTTTGATAACAACTGGGAAAAATACGACAAATTGCTGCATCTGATGTGTGATTGTGAGTCTTTTGCTGATGCAACACTGACTCCGTGACATATGCGCACGCGCACACACACACACGCACACACACACACACACACACACACACACACACACACACACACGCTTGTCAATGATTCTGTGTTTGCAACAACAGCTTTTTGGGAATGAGGTGAAAGGTAAGACGTGGTGGTGAACGTGAGGATGGTCACATTGTTAAACTAGTGGGTGACGAATGTTTTTTCGTGGCTGCCACCATCATCAACACACCCTTCCAACTTCCTGTTGAGTAATTTCTACATGTCAAAGCCCACACATGACTGCTACTGTTAAATAAAGCTGGATATCTTTTATTTTATGAGTGTATAGCTGAGAATTTACTGTACATTTTACTGATTTGGTCTGCAGCAGCTCGTCAACAAAACAGTGTTGTTTCATTTTGAAAATATCCCCCTTCAGGCTGTTTTACATGCAGTCACAAGATCAGAGGAAAACAATCCCAGAATTTTATCTTCCTATCATTGGTCTAAATTCACACCTACCCTTGCTTAATACATAAAACATATTTTTATTTTGCTTCTTTTATTTTGTTTATGTTATTATTGGTGCAAAAACAAAACACTGAATAGTCACTTTACAGCTACACTATTGAGAGAAACAAAACTAATATACACAGACAAAGAAGTTAACATAAAACAAAAAATAGAAAAGCATTGTCATAATAATTTATAAACAATAATAAATTATAGAAATAGAAATTTCACACAATCCTACAGAATGACAAATCAGTCAATAGCTGCTATACAAGTTAAAATTTCAATGTCTGGCAGAGCTGTTCGATTAAACTATGTTCATCTTCATCACCTGATTTAATTACTTGTCAAATTTACAATAAATCCCCTTTGCATACCATGTATTTGCACAATTAGGTGGAGCATTTCTTCAGTGGATACATTTTCACTTCCATAGTTTTTGAGGCCTGGATGTCAAAATAAAACAGGATGTTAGCTTAACTGACGAGCGTTTCAGAGTGTCTGGTAATCTAGGAATTTTTTATAGGAGAGGTTTGAGGAATTGTGCAATGCGCTGAACTTTCTATATTGCTTGAAACTTCAGAACCTCAAAAGGCTGGTTGGATGTCTTCCCTTTTCATAAAGTCCTGCAATAATGAACTATATAAGAAACGGTCTGTGTCGAGGAGCCAGTATATTAGTAGTAGTAGTGTATCATATAATCATATAATAGTGTGTTAAATCAATGTTGGCTCGTATCTGGTGAGAAGTGATTTGTTGATCATGGATGATTTTCTTATTGTGAGGTGACCCTGACTGAAGGAACTCATATTCACAATAAAGGGGAAATTTTACCAGTTCATTATTTAATATTTCTGAAATATAGTATCAAATGCCATCTTTTGTTTTAGTGGTGGAAAGTGAATAAGTCAATTAATTAATTAATTATTCAGTCACGTACATCTGAACTTTACTATTTTGGGTACTTGTAGTGTATTTTACTTGAGTTTTTCTGGATTCTTTTAACCAATTAACCATTTTACCCTACTACAAGTTCTACTCCACTATAGTTCAGAGGGAAATATTATACTTTTGTACACAGCTATATTTATTTCACAGCAAGAGTTACTTATATACATACAAATTAAGATTTTACAAATAAATCATATGATTAGCTTGTAAAAGTTGATGCATTATTATAGATTAAACTACCTACGTTTTTGCTCAATCAAATACACTGAACAAAATTATAAACGCAACACTATTGTTTTTGCACCCATTCATCATGAGCTGAACTCAAAGATCTAAGACTTTCTCTATGTACACAAAAGGCCTATTTCTCTTAAAAAATTTTCACAAATCTGTCAAAATCTGTGTTAGTGAGCACTTCTCCTTGGCCGAGATAATTCATCCACCTCACAGGTGTGGCATATCAAGATGCTGATCAGACAGCATGGGTACTGCACAGGTGTGCCTTAGGCTGGCCACAATAAAAGGCCACTCGAAAATGTGCAGTTCCATCACACAGCACAATGCCACAGATGTCGCAAGTTTTGAGGGAGCGTGCAATTGGCATGCTGACTGCAGGAATGTCCACCAGAGCTGTTGCCCATGAACTAAATGTTCATTTCTCTACCATAAGCAGTCTCCAAAGGCGTTTCAGAGAATTTGGCAGTACATCCAACCAGCCTCACAACGGCAGACCAACAATTGTTTTTCATAACCAAAGAATTTCTGCACAAACTGTCAGGAACCATCTCAGGGAAGCTCATCTGCATGCTTGTCATCCTTATCGGGGCCTCGACCTGAATGCAACTTCGCACAGCCATTGAAGAGGAGTGGATCGACATTCCACAGGCCACAATCAACAACCTGATCAACTCTATGCAAAGGAGATGTATTGCAATGCGTGAGGAAAATGGTGGTCACACCAAACTGCACATTTTTGAGTGGCCTTTTATTGTGGCCAGCCTAAGGCACACCTGTGCAGTACCCATGCTGTCTGATCAGCATCTTGATATGCCACACCTGTGAGGTGGATGGATTATCTCAGCAAAGGAGAAGTGCTCACTAACACAGATTTTGTAAGATTTGTGAACAATATTTGAGAGAAATAGGCCTTTTGTGTACATAGAGAAAGTCTTAGATCTTTGAGTTCAGCTCATGACGAATGGGGGCAAAAACAAAAGTGTTGTGTTTATAATTTTGTTCAATGTACTAATAAAAATGATATGTACTTAGTAATGCATTTTTAATATTAAGGCCAGACACTACAGGTGAATAAGGTAAAATTTCAAAAACTAATGGATATCACCATGAAACTTCCCCAGTTGACATAGATACATTAAGACAAATTTTTTGTATTACAAGTTTTCTGATATGTTATGTTTAAATACGCAAATGATGCATTATCTAATTAAATATGCGCTAATTTACACTTCCAGAACAGAAATCTAAACATTGTATAGAGCCAGGATCATTTTCTTGAGCTATTAGAGTCAAAGTTTTTACAGAGGGATTTTTTGATATCTCCATAAATCAGAAAAAAATTATTCTTTTCACATGTTTTCAGGAACAAAATATTAAATAATTCAGACTATGAATGACAGATGAACAAACCCCTCTGTAAAAATAATAAAACTGAGTTTAGTCTAGTGAAGTGGAGATTTCCAACTGCAAGGCACTCCACTACAGGTGAATCGGGTAAAAAAAAAAAACATTTTTCATACAGCTTAATTTTGCATTTTTTCCTAAATTTTCTCATACATGAACGTTGCTCTAATAATTAAGCCAGCGCTCATTTTGCAAGGATGGTCTGGTGTTACACAAGATATGGGCAGTGATACTTGCTGTGTAGTGACCGCAAGTCACTTCTGCACGTCAGTTTTGTATTTTCACAGTCATCTACAGCAAAAATAGCAGAAGTGAACAAAGATGTTGAAATCTTGGTGCACTTCAAGACAGATCATGTTCTGGTCCATTTACCGTAGCTCAGGCGCTCTGGCTTCCCGTTACAACCCATGGTCCGGATATCCGGTGTCCCTTTAGAGGAGGAACTGTAATTAAACAAGCAAAATCACTGTGTTAAAATCACCAAACATAGAAATCTTCTGTCTTTGGTCTAGACTCGAGAATATTTTTTGCAAATCATCTTTTGCTTTAAAACTCTGCGCAAACGCTGTCTAAACAACAAAGTTAAAATCTTGTCCAGGATGATGTGACCCTACAACCAAAAAGATATCAACAAAAGGCTTCTGAAAGATTATGCTCAAATATTTCTATATACAACATCCGAGTGTGACTCTAACATGACTCTAAAAATCAACTGTTAGTCAATGGAAGTTCTCTAAATTGGGGATAATATGTGAAATGAAACAAAATTATAAAATGTATGAACAACTTTTACAAATGCAAACAGGATTGATCCTAAAATGGAAGAAATAGCACAAGTGAGCACTTCTTTATACCTGTTTGTCAAAATAAAGACCACAATCAAAATTGAATCTGTTATCAATTGCAAAAACATTTTAGAAAGCATATTTCGAGTATGTCTGGGTTAAAAACAACCACCTATATAGTTTTATATGCATTCACCTTAAGCTAATTTAAGACATTAAGAACACATTAGGAAAGAATTTGCAACAGTGACATATAAATAGTAAACAAAACAAATGGCTCAATTGTGTAATTCTGCAAATAGCAAATGAGATCTGGGATATAAAAATAGAAACTAACAGAGTGGTTTCTGTCCGACACATAATATCAGTTAAAGGATAACTTCGTTAATATTCTATACTTTCCTTATTGTCAATCAATCCCATAAAAAGACCAAAACCAACAAAGAACTGATCCTAGTAAGTGTTGTCTGTGTAGCCAAAGTCTGATAAATCTTATTCCTCTCTGCCATACAGCTCCATTGTTGTCCAAAATCTACTAAAAGCACACCAAAACGCCACACTGTTGCACTGGGTGACATGAGCCATGCACTATTTATGCCTGTTTTAGTGAAGTTTGCTTTAAAAAAAACCCAAAAAACTAGCTGTCCAGCTGTTCAAGGAAAAATTTAAGTATTTGTGCCCTTTTTAAAGCTCCACAAACAAGGTAGGGAAGTCAGAAATGTACTGAGCTGGACTAACACACTGTTGGTCTTTTCATTGACTGTAAATAAAAAATATTGAATATTGCCAGCCTTACCCTTTTAGATGCATTGAGGAACTATGTAAAAAGTAGTTTTTAAAAGCAGATTTGAACAGAAAAAGATATTAACTGTATAACTGTGTTATAGTTATGTGCACGTTTGCATTTTATAATTGGTGTGATGAATTAGTTAGTTGTTTAAATGTATATGAATGTCAGAGCAACTTTGTATTTGTTAAACAAACAGCAGCTAAATGTTGGTTCAGTACTTTTGTTATTACAAAGTATCATATTGGAGCTGCAAATTATTATTTTTCACTATTGATTCATCATTTTGTCTATAAAATGCCAGAAAATAAAAACTGTTTTAATTTCCCACAGACCAAGCTGACATCTTTAAATCTTGTTTTGTTTGACCAAAACCAAACATGACCAAACATAATCAGTTTACTAGTTTACTATCAGGTGTGACAAAGAAAAGCATCAAATCCTCAAATTTAGCTCAAAAAATATTTGACATTTTTTGCTTTAAAAATGACTAAAACGACCATTTGATTATCAAAATAGATGCCAATAAATGTTCTGTTGATCAACTTATCAATTAGATGATTGTTACAGCTCTATAACATATATTAATTTAAACATGCATCACAGCTGTGATCTTACGTGTGGAGCAACAAACCACTAGTCCCGCTGTTCTGCTCCATGTTCATAGTAAAACTTAATTCAAACGCCCACTCCTGTTGGTTGTGGTATGTGGTAGTGACAGCCAGAAAATCTGGACCAAAGCCAAATTAAATAATTAAAAGTGTTAACTGATAGAACATCGAGTTTTCATCATCAAACTTTCTAGATTAATTTGGGACACACAATCTGATACAACATTGTGGAAAAGTGTTTTAGGGAACAAACTAATAAGATGACTTATTGGTAGAAAAATCCTTCCATTTCTCAACAACTGGTACAGAGTGGACATTTAAGTGACAGAGGTGTGTGTGTGTGTGTTTGTTTGTATTGCTTTATCAGAGGAGTTTTTAGGAGGCCAGTTGGCGTACGGAGGGGCTGTGATGCAATGAGGAGTTTACGGACAGACACTGCCCATTGACGGTAAAATGTGGAAAGAGGGCTGGGCTAAACTTTCAAGAAAAGAGGTCATCCTGTGTGGGAATTTCCCTCTCTCCTGTCAGCATGATAGCCAGGACCAGGGAAAGACTGCGTGGGGCTCCATTAGGAAACAAGGGGTCATCGAAGAAAGAATGCCTAGAATGTTTGACTGATTCTGAGCCAAGACTGACGGCGCAGCTAGAGCAGGGACTGTGCTGGAAACATTTCATTATAAATACATTATCTGAAATTACATTACTGTGTCTGCAGTTGAGTTAATGACTTTTTCTTGAAACAAATGTTTACTTGGAAGGGTTTTTTTGCCAGTAAAAGCCTAAAGCCAGCCAGACAACTCACAGCTATTGTCATGATAACAATGTCTTCTTTAAATGTGGGTGTAGCATTCTTCAAGTGATGGTGTGTTGGAAAGGGAGGATATTGCACAACAGTTAAAAGCTAAACTGTTCCATCATTCAGTGAGTGTTGAAATATCCACTGCACTCAAAATCCCACTGCACAAAACAGCAACAGTAACAGTTTTAATGTTGTGTTTTCAGTGCCAGTATAGTCAGTTTGTCCTCTCTTGAAAAACTAGCAGAGGTGGTTTATCCTCTTTTCTCCTGTTTGACGTGAGAGTTGGAAAACATTCCCCACCCTGAACTGTCAAACAGCACATACAAATCCCACCATGCCTCTTTTTTTCCCTCCTCTGTCTGGGGTTTTCTTTGCTTGTGACAGATATGCTTCATATTGTGTACACAGTGAAATGCAGTCTGAGGGCTTGGTAAATTCCACTGCAAACCAATTGTCAACTTATCTAACATGTCTGGTGTAACCTACTTTGTCTCTCCCATTTCTAACTTCTACATTTTCTGCTGAGGGTTTTCCACTCGAGATTTACTCAGGATTATTGGTATCTCTCCTTCACTCCCAGCCAGGTCTTGGCGTTTGAAGCGAGACCTGAGGTGGGGTGAGGAGGTTAGTTGCTGATTAATTTCCATGCAACCTTGAACCCCTCTCTGGACCAGTGGACCCAGCAGACTATTGACAGAGCCGTGTGCTAAAGATAAAGCTAACATTTCTCTGTGGCGTGCAGTGTGACCAAGTTTTTTTTTTTTTTGCTGCTCTCAGCAGTATCATTTCAGTTTATATTGGTTGGATGTATTTTAGGATCTGAGGACTTTTTGTGAATTCAATGAGTAAACAGAAAAATGAAAATGACGGTGGCATTAAAAGTTAACCATAGCCACACAGTGTGGAGAGTCTGTTTCTTGCTTTTTTGAACCTGACCTTTTTATTATTTAATGGCTGATTAAACCACTGAATACCATGTTCTGCTCTGTGGAAACTAAAAAATGATAATGAAATGTAATGATGGTGATCCGAAGCAATATTTAAATTACACAGGCCTGCATGCACTTGGTTGATGTCTCCTTCAATTTTGGCATATCTGAATTTAAAATATTGCAAAATTGCCTCTGCAATATGTTGCAATTGAAATAGGCCTACATCATAATACGCAGTCTGACTATCATGTGTGTATATTTAAGGCAAGCATAACACCCCTGTATGTCTGTCTTTCTGAGCCTACACCATGCTTCAAAGGGTCAGAAAAGAAGAAATTACAAATGAAATCTTTTAGACAAAGTATAAATCTGTTTAATTCAATATAATATCAAGTACAATTAAAGCATTTCCCCTTTTAATATTAAATAAAGACTTATTTCATTCATTGCCAATACTATTACAAAGAGTTGCATCATTTCACTGCAGTACAACACATCTTTTCTTGAAAACCAGTGATCCATATAGGACAAAATGTAGAAATTCACTCGCATGTATGTAAAACCTGCACAGGAATACTGCATACACAAAATTACATCTGAGAATCAAGCTACTGTGACATGTGAAGAATCGTGAATGATTGCGCAATCCATGCGCCCACTTCTTCAGTCCCATTCAAAGTGCCCTTGTAAACTGGTGGTCACTGTCTTCACCTGTGAAGCGTACCGTTTTCAACACTTGTTCAGTGGATCACCTCCGCCTCTAAAGTCCATCAATGATGACAAGCAGCTCAGAGATCCTGGAGGTTTCTATGGTCCGGTGGCAGAGAGCAGGTTGCGCAGGGTGGCCAGCTCTCTGGACAGCTGCTCTACACGCTTTTGTAAACGATCATTTTCTGCAGCCAGTTCCAGCACTTTATGTTGAGTCTCCATGTTGCGCATTTTGGCTTTGTCCCTGCTCTTCCTCACGGCGAGGTTGTTCCTCTCCCGCCTCACCCTGTACTCTTCACTGTCCTTGTCCAGGCGTTTCTTTGCTTTCCCGCTGGACATTTTGCCACCGTGCGACGGTGACCTGCTTTTACCTGACGGGGCAGGTGTGCCGGGCGGGCTGGAGCAAGTCGAGGACGCGGTGGAGATGTTTCCAAGACTGCCGCTGGTGGACTGGTAATGAAGATACCTCATGTCAAAACCAGACGACCCGTTCTCCATCTTTGCGTCTTCCTGGCTGTCGTCTCTCTCAGCAGCAGCAGCCGCAGCTCTGTAGCGGCTCCCGACGAGTTCAGGGCTGAGCACACTATCCACACGGGTCTCCTGCAGCTCAGCGTAACCCAGCGCGTAGGGCTCCCTGGGGTCCCTCAAGTTGTCGCACTGACTCGCCTCCAGCTCGTTCAACAGCGAGTAGTTCTTGTAGTTCTGTAAAGCTGCAACTCTCTTGATCTTGTTGCTCTCCGCCAGGAAATCTGAGAAAACGTCTCCCTGTTGCTGCTGCTGCGGACAGTGCAAAGCTGAATCCAGGTAAACGCTGAAGTCTATCGCTCTCTCCCGCTCTTCAATGCCCACCTCCGTCATCGGGTCGCCGACCCTCCAGTACGAGCCGCTGCCGATGGGACTGATAATGCTGTCTCTACTGTGGATAGCAAAGCTGCCCTCGTCGTAGAAGCCGGCCACTTCCATGGATCTTAACACCCGCCGGATTGCAGGAGCATGGAGGGCTGAGATGAGACGCCCAGAGTGGTTTTGGTTCAACTGCCTCACTTGTGAAATGGCTCAACTGTCGGAATGTTGTGAGTTTAAATCCCCTGTGTCACTGCCTGTGACAGCATGCAGTGAAACTACTTTGGAGAGACAGCGCGCATGGATCGGGGAAGGAATTGACAGATCTTCCTGTCTTGGGGGGTTTTAGTACAAGCGAGGGGCGGGGTTTAGCTGGGCAGGTGTGTGACGCGCAGCGATGGGCCAACAGGACAACCTGTCCTGCTTTCAGAGGACTTTTCAGCTATTTGTGTTTGGACATAATAAAAATCTGTTTTTTTGTGTGTGTGTGGCATTTGGGACAATTAGTTGTGGCATAGACTTTGGTTTGCCACCCAAGAATAAAGAGGGGAAATGCAACTTTAGTGGCTTTCATTAATTCCTCATTAACGACACAGAGACAACTAAAACAGAAATAAAAAGTGAAAATACAACCCAACAACAGTCACTTCATCCAGAGTGCGGGGCGACGTCTGCCATAAGAAAATGCGGTGAATACTTTTAAACAGCATTTGATGACAGCACGTCCATTCACGCCATCTACAGTCACATCTCACAGACGCGACAATAAAATCCCACTCAGTGGTAACCATTTTCTAAGTTCATGCGTAATCATTTCATAACAAGATACTAATGGAAGCACATATCCAGACAGATGTTTCCCCACAACATTCACAGACTAGTCGAAACCGGTCTGTGTATTTTGCTGTGTGGTGAAACTGTACAAGATGATGCATCCACTCCAATACTGCAGGGTGGGTGTGATGAGAAATTTCGTCAGCCTGGTTTATGTCTGTAACGGTTCAGTGTGTTTTTAATAACCCTTTCTCGAGATGTCTCACGGAGCATCGTGATTTTCCTGTCAGAACATTAATGTAAACAATAAACAGGGCACAAACATGTGATAATAACCGGGCCCAGTGACTTTGGTCAGTTGACAAAACAGGTCTTGGTATTTTATACACATGGTCAGCAGGTCTAATGACCCTTAATGCACACAGTCTGTTCATTACAGCTTTTGAGATATAGACCTACAGTACAATTTGTGAGCAGAGACAAGTGTGGATTTTATGTGGTCTTACTGCCATCATGTGGTAAGTGCAAGGATAACTGACATTACAGTAACAGGGTTAAAATAAATGTTTGGGACATGTGTCTTCCCACAAACTGTTTCCTGGTGTGCAGCCAAAACCACTTTTCTGTTTGAGTACGTCTTCAAAACATTTCTTGAGAAATATACACTCTTCCCTTTTACCAGTTGGCTCCCCCTCATACGCATGCACAGGTGTTACAGTTTATTCTGACTATCTGTGACTTTAGGGCTGTATTTTTTCCCCCATGTGCTTGGATTAAAAGTCAGTTGTTGAATGCACAACTGTTGACTCCATGAACAGAACACACACAGTGCTGGATTAACATGTTTTGAGGCCTTGGTGCAAATATGTACCATTGGGCCCCAACTGACCACCCACCCCCAGTCTGTGGTATATGTGTCCTGTTGCACGTACAGTGGCACACCAGACAACATGTTAGCTTTATTATGCCCAGAGACTCAGAAAGTAACCAGGTCAGTAAAGAATAAGTGATTATGCAGAATGCCCCCTTCCACACTGTCAGAGTATTATTTATAATTTATTATTATATTAATACTTAATACTTACTTAATAATGAGCCAATATACTCATCAGGAGTGCTTGTTGGATTGCTGAATAGCTTCCAAGTCCCCTCTCCCCCAGCCGACATCAGATTAAAACTAAAAATGTGCATAACATTTTATAAGCTGATCAATTCATTTGTATTTAAAAGTAAGATAAATGTTGTGGAGAAGTATAAAGTAGGATGAAATGGAAATGCTCAAGTCACGTACCACAAGGTAGGTAAATGTACTAGGTTACAGAATCCACCAGTGCAAACAATGAACTTATAGTATTAAGATACAATAGGGACACACATTTTGTTAGTTGTTGCACAATCTGTTGCCTGCTAAAGTGTCTGTTGAGCAGTGGTGTAAAATAACCTTAAGTCGAGTACTGTAAGCCTACTACAATTTGGTGTGCTTTATTTGAGTATGTCAAATTTATGCTACTTTATACTTCTACTCCACTCCATTTAAGAGGGAAATATTACATTTTTCACTCATTTACATTTCAACAGCTATAGTTACTGGATACTTAGATTCATATCGTTTACAAAAAACACAAGCTTATACAATACAATGCATTGTTAAAAGCCAGGAGAATGAAAAAGAGACATCTTTCAGTATCAACCTGTGATGGTATGTAACGCACGCAAGTACTGTACTCATGTACATTTATGTGCTTGTACTAGGGGCGGCATTAGCTCGGTCTGTTAGGACTTGGCTCCCCGATGGCAGCCGACTGCTCCTACATAGGATGGGCAGAGAACAAATATCCCCTTCCCCCTCCCTTGGGTGGCAGTAGCTCAGGCTGGCTGGACACTGGTCGCTGGTTCGAGTCCAGCTCTGACCACAGATGTGGACTGGTAGCTGGAGAGGTGCCACCTCTTGGGCACTGCCGAAGGTGGCCTTGAGCAAGCCCCTGAACCCCCAACTGCTCACTCTGACATCTCTCCATGTGTGTAAAATGCTAACAATTAACAACAGAGTGAAAACATCTACTCCACTTTAACTTTCAAAGGGAAATATTATGTATTTACTCCACTAGGGCACATTTAACAGCTCACAGAGTAATGCTAATGTAGGAACCATTGATCCAGTAGGCTATTTGACAAGGGAGATTTTTCCTAATGTGAACTTTCACTTCTGATACTTTGCTGTACATCTTGCTGATAATACTTATTATGAATGTAGGACATTTAGCCTACTTGTATCGGAGTAGTTTTACATCACTGTAGACTATTGCTAATTTTACTTAGTGACTTTTTTAAACTGTGGCAACAAGTGGCATTTACAGGATAATGATGAATTCTATAATGTAGTGTAACAGTAACATAAGAGGAGGAGATTCATCAAAAGGTCAGTTAATTGACTCAGTAATGTCAGTTAAGCTAATAGCTAATTATCAAACAGCTAACTTAAAGTTAGCAAACATTAGCTAACATTAGCCACAATAAACAACTGATCATACCAGACCAAGTGAGGCGGTAGCAGCAAAGCCCCTGACTGTAATGAATTGAGCAAGGATGCGTTTAAATGTTTATCAACTTTGAATTGTAGGGGGGAAGAATGTGTCTTATTTATATCTTATATGTAAAAAGTGTCACTTTACGTAAAAGTCAATACTGCTTGAACAAAAGTTACTGCACTGTTTACACACCTCACCTGACTATATGTTGTCCATAGTTGAAGCTGTAGCGTCACAAAGTTTGACATGTGACCCATGTCGCCAGTTTTTATGAGGTTCATATCACGTATACACAGAGAGAGCTCCATCTACTGTAGACTTCATCCAGCTGAGAGCAGAGCGGGGACTAGAGGACGGGTGGTGTCAGGAAATTCGGTCTTTCCCCTCGTAACCTGCATTGGTCACTCGGCTGCGTGTGGAACATTTTCTCGTCCGTTGATTGGCTGCTGCGCTCACCGACTTTCACATGATTGGTTAAAAACGTTACGCTGTCTGTGGGCTGAGAAGTTGATGATGCAATTGGTTCCTAGCTGTGAGTAGAGAGGTTGAAGGGGCTGGGCCCACAGCGGAGAAATGGCGAGAATGGTTACCGAGAACGGCTGTGGAGTGGAAACACAGAACCCAGAGCCGCAGGGACCGGGCCGGGGTGCGGCCAGATGGGGTCCACAACACGCCGGTGCCCAAGAACTCGCCAATTTATACTCACCAGGTGAGTCGATCCCCTCAGCAGCGCCGTCTTATCGGCTTGTTCACCCGGTTCAAGTGTCCCTGAGTGGTGTTACTTAACGACAGGCTTTTTACGTAGTTACCGAGTAAGAAACTGGAGGAAACCTCTGCTAAAAACACTAAACAAGAGCACCAGTTTATCTTATCTAACTGCTACAATTAAATGACAGCAACAATCAGCGACAGTCACACTTTTGTTGTTATACAATGGGAGTCATGTGAGATGAATTTGTGCTCGAGTCGCTGTTGTCATTTGACATTTCGAGCATCAGGCAGATGTTAGATGTTAGAGGAGAATCCACTGCTTCTGCTTTAGGCTCAGAAGCCACATTTGGCCACGGAGCTGCTGTGACCTTTCATAACCGTGTCGATGCTAAGTCTGCCCATCTGTAACTCAAGAGAGCAATGCATAATCAAAAAACAAAGGTCTAAATTGTTTTGAGATCTTGGCAACTCCCCTGTGCCAGTTTCTCCACCGTCATTCATTCCATTTGAAGTTGAATGCAAAAAGTTTAAGGCCTTCACGCCCATTGTACAAATACTTGATGCCTTTTGAGGTCCTCATATCAGTTGAGGACCTTACAAGGATCTGAATCTGACAGCTTTGACTGCATTGGTTGGATTGTACTCTTCTTTGAGTTGTATGACATGGACAGGTATATGGGACAGGCCCTTGCTCACTACTCAGTATGCTCAGCACTGTAACAAGAAAAGTGCAACAGAAATGTTGCCTCACTGAGTGTCTCTGTTGTGAAGAAGCACAATATTAATTCTGGTAATAAGGTTTTGTTTGGATCAGATGACATCACATTAAGTCTTATAGACTGGAGGCAGTCTGTGCTGTTTATGTGTTTAATCCAATCAAACTAATGTGTATGCTTGTGTTTTTCTTTTAAGGCAAAAGATGTCAAGAATGGATAAGTGTTATCCTCTGCTTCTCTCTCATGGCCTTCAATTTCATTCACCTACTTGCCAACTTCCATCTGGGACACATGTGGTACATCCTGTTGAGCATCGGTAAGAGTTGACTGAAAAATGATATGATGTTCTGATGTTGAACAAGTGTTGGCTGTTCTCTCATCAATTTTCTGTGCTGCTCTTCTGCTCAAACTCATTTTCAGTGGCAGGAATACTCACCGCAGACTTTGCGTCTGGATTTGTTCACTGGGGGGCTGATACGTGGGGGTCAGTGGATCTACCCATCTTTGGAAAGGTAACGTATCCATGAGTCATTTTCAAACCTATCTCCCCAACAAGAATCCATTGTTTGTACTCTAAATAATCTCAATAAAAAGTTTTCCTGCATTTACAATTTCTTGTTTTCCACTCTGTTGGACTGTCTGATCTGTCCTGCAGGCCTTTATACGACCTTTTAGAGAGCACCACATTGACCCCACAGCCATTACCCGTCACGATTTCATTGAGACCAATGGTGACAACTGCATGCTGACCATAGTCCCTTTGGCGAACATGGCCTTCAACTTCCTCATACTCTCCCCTGGTGAGTTTTGTATTAACAAACCAAGCCTGACATTTTCTTCTATATGAATATGCTTTAATCTGGTTTAAGCTGTTACTTCTGAATAACCATGCAGGGTTTCCCGTCTCACCTTGTTTATGTCACCTTTTTTTGCAGCGGAGGTTTACCATAGCTACCCCTGGTACTGCTACTTGTATGCACTAGCCATCTTTGTGACTCTTACCAACCAGATTCACAAGTGGTCGCACACATACTTCGGCCTGCCTCGCTGGGTGGTGCTCCTACAGGACTGCCACATCATCCTGCCCCGCAAGCACCACCGCATCCATCACGTCTCCCCTCATGAGACGTACTTCTGCATCACTACAGGTTTGTCTTTATTTCCTCAAGGGGGATCATAAATCAGTCTGAATGTAGTGTTTTGTCAATGACATCTTACGGTTTATGGAATGAGAGTCAGGCAGGTCATTGAGTTCTTTCTCTCCAGGATGGCTGAACTACCCTCTGGAGAAGCTGGGTTTTTGGAGGTACCTGGAGGATATTATCCAGGGTGTGACGGGAGAGAAGCCCAGGGCTGACGACCTGAAATGGGCTCACAAAGTCAAGTAACTCCGCAGGCTTACTGCATCCTACCTCAGAAGATGCTGGCTCCGTCCAGGCTTCTCACGCCCTTTTTGCCTCACTTAAACTGTAAAAACTAACAAACACTTTCTGATGCCATAGCTTTAAGTCTGTTTTTCAAAAGCAGGGCTCTGTTGATGGATTTTTTCACTCACTCATGGAGATCATCATTCAAATTGCAATATATCCTAAACTCTTCGTATGTCAAACAGAGCTCATCATTTTTTTAATGTGATTTACAAACGCTTCTGCTAAAAAGGTTTGGTCAGATACATGATTTGAAATTGCGTTCCAAGGAGATTAAAACATTTCCCTCACATCGATTAAATTATATTTATATCAGTTTTTGGACCCCCCCCCCCATTTTAAGGGTCTTCTTGATGTGCAAGTAATAACGTTGGATTTAAGCCATGGTAAGAGGTAGGGTGGGGTGATACAAGATTTTGAGATGCTTTACCAATGTTGATAGCTAAAGATTTGATGATAGCCAAATTGGGTAATTACTGTTACATTTGTTGACTTGCACGCTTGGGTTTAGCTGCACACTTCTTTTTTATTTTTTAATACTAACCATTGCCCATTGTTGTGTCTAGTAACTTATCACAAATCAACATGCAACCATATTTTTAATAGTTTAGTCATGGATTTGTTAATGTGGGACAATGACTACAGTTGCAGTGGAAGAGTTGATACCCAAGTCATCCCTCCAGGATGCAAAATGGCAGGTCTGTCAGCTCAGAGAAACTAGTTTTAAAGTAAACAAACCAAAAAGAATATAAAAATAAATTGCTCAAATTGCTGTCAGATCCTAAGCTGTCATTTTGATTGGAATTAGTTTTTTTTTCTGGATGATGAAACAGTTGAAACAGTTGTCATTTTTTTAGGAGATGGGTAATTTTCAGTAATTTGATCTGTGTTTTGTAACTGTAGTCAGGGTTGATGCTAGGCCATTAAAACATCTGGGCGAATACACATGTATTGTGCTGTTGTTCTGCTGAGGCAGCCTGGCCCTACTGTGTAGTCTTTTCAGATGATCACGTGTCTTCTGTGAAAAACATTTTTAGTTTTTATTTCACTCCTGTTAACAGTTTTGCAAGAAAGAGTTCCATGCAGTTTTTGTCAATCTGCCTTACACTCCACAGATGCAGTACTGGTGTCTCTTTTGTTTCTTTTGCAGCACTTCTTGTTGCACTGGTAACATTGTTTTCACCACTCGCATCATCTTTTGTATTTTGGGAAGGAATGTTGCCACCGTGTACTGTCTTGGTAACTGTGACAAGCAGACTTGGTGATATTACAGGGACTTTGGTGAAGGCTGACGATCCAGGAATTTCTTCACTCCTATAGATGAGATCATGGAATTTAATCAATTGGTTGGACATTGTTTTTAACACTTTAGTCAGTCATTTGTAAATGTGTTGTACAGCGAATAACTATGCAGTGTAATATGAGGCCCTTAACTATATGTCTTAAGTCATCCGAGTAGGTTAAATGCCTTTCTATTTCTAATTATTTATACATATTTGCTAAGTTGAAAAACTGGAGCTCAAAAATTTAGCTACCTAATAAACTGCATGACAAAGTTACTTATTAAGATGTCACATACACTGACGTAAGAATGCATGCATGCATACAGCATGGCGGCTTGTGCATATAATTTACTGGGTCATCAGCTTTCCTTTGAGTTTGTGTAAAGCAGACTCTGACTAGGGAGGATTGTGCTCGCTTCAGATGAAATTAATTGTACTGCTTTCAAAAGATGACCCCAAACTGACCAGATGGTCCTGGGTTTGAACTACCAAAATGTTATCTTCATTCCAAGGAAATCCTGGCAAATACTTTCAGGTTTAAATGGGAGAAGCTAACCATGCTGTTCAGTTGGGTTAAAGGCTGAATTATTAAGCTTCTGGTGTTAAAGTCAAAGTAGGCAATTTAGTGATAGTTCATTTTGAAGCCAAAATTCTGTTTTATATTATGTAATATTCCAGTTTTTGAATCCCTCTTACTTGATTATATAAAATGATTCACCATAGGCCAACAGCAGAAGTACACTGCAGATTGCATAGTGCTTGTGGTGTATTGTGAGAAGCAGTTTTGTAGGTAGTAGGTAGTTTTATATACGCTGGTAAATGGAGGCCTTTATGTCACTTGCATCACAATTAGAGGCTTGCATTGAAGTTCTAGTCCTATAGTTCAACATTAGGCTAATATTGCTGGGACACTTCAGTAGACCCATTTGAACTTTGACAGAGAGGTTATTTTCTGAATAGGATTCTTGGCGTTTGCTCTTCTGAATGTTTCGGCGCTTCAGTAAATTGCTTTTTGTGATGATATAGAAGTTGTGTCAATTTTAAGGACGCTTTGTGTTTTTGTATTACTGCTAAGGATAATGGATATAAATACTAGACATGACATGCCATAATTAGTTTGGAGATTAACAAAACCGACTGCTTTGCAATAAAAATATCTGGTGAGCTCAGAAGGAATCCATACTATAATATTCTTTGCTTGGAGACAATAAGATTTGCTTGAAGACAGACTTGCTATTTATGGCTGTCATAGTCTGGTTGAGAGTATAGATCTAACATACATTAACTTATTCATCATTGTTATACTCCAGATGATCTCAGGATTGTGGTTAGAGTGATTAAAGTAGTTTGACATGACATTTGTCACTCATTTCCATCAGATTCTGTTGGCCAAAGTAGCAGAATGAATTTTAATACATTATAGGTTCTACTGTAGCTATATATCAGTACAGTGAACCTGGCGTCTTTTTATTGAGGTAGAATTTGAGTGGATTTGAAGGGTATTTTGTGACAATGTGTGGTAAGCTTAATATTTTACCACCGGAAACAATTTTATGAAGGCTAACAAACATGTTGGTATGTGGTGTGGGCACTTGTCCTTGATATGTTTGACATGCTGTGTTGAATTCGCTTTTGTAATGAACCTTGGACTTATGAATTGAATTGCCTTATCCTCTCCCTGATTGATTTTCTGTAAATCTTGCCTGCGATATAGGAAAACAGTTTATTGACTGACTTTAAATTGCCCTTCACTTGCCTCTGAGGTAAGACCCATATGGATGTTGTAGTTGGTTATGTATGCTGGTGGTGATGGAGTTCTAGATATCAGAATAATGCCTTGATGCCTTTTTGTTGTCTTCCATTTCGGAGACATACAATGTATATATTAAACTGTATTTATAAATAAACTAAATAAACGGTTGATAATTATTGCTTGTGATACATTTCTTTTTTGCTTGGCTTTAGTTTAAAGATGTTGTAGCCAGGGCCTGACATTAACTTTTTTGCTCACCACCCACTGTGGCTAGTGGTTTTCCAGTTATTATCAACACAGCATTTTCACTAGCCACATTTTTGTTGTTGGGAAATTATGTTTTATATGATAAAAGTTTAGTATGATGTGTTTAAAATTTACTTGAACTAGACCACTGTACACACCCAAATCAAGACTACATGAAATGTATAACATTACAGGTCATTATAATTAGGTCTGATAAGGTTGTTTGTAAAGCTCCTATTATATGAAAACATAGTCTATTAAGATAAAGACCTATAAAGAGTAGCTCCTTATTGCATAAAATAAAAGTGGTGCATGGGTGTAGCTATATAATTAGGCTATGTTCTTTAAATTGTTACTTTCCTCTTGCTCTTCCTGCATAATATAACTTATTCTCTCTTTTAGGAGTCTTCAGTCAGAGCACAGGGTCATAGGTTTCAAGGAAGACATTCAGTCATGTTGCAGTAAGAAAAGAACAGGTGTAAATAATAAAATTGATTAAAAGGGCCATCATCAACTGGTAACACTTGTCATAAATGTGTTAAATTATTTGTCACATAAAATTGTTTACTGATTCTGAAAGTAGATGTTTAACAAAGGTCATTAGCATTTAAAGTCATCAATAGCCCGAATGTTGGTGCAACAACATTCATCCTTTGTGCATGGTTAACCATAGACTGTTCAACATCAACAACCATTGTCAATAACAGTACATTTTCTGAGACACTGACTTCCAGATAATAAAGAAAACTATGATTCATGGTAACTGAGCTTAAACGGTTTGTTTGTTTGCATGTCTCATTTAAATGTTATTAATAAAAATGTTTTCCTACTATGTCTGCTGTGAAAAATACCTATTAGTAATTAATTTACGTGTTGGAAGGCCAGTCTCTTTAAACAAGCTTTCCAGCTTGGTTTGGTTTTGCATTTTTGCAGCCTTGTCACACATTTACCACTAATGATCCACTTCTTACAGCCTGTGCTTATTTAACTGAAAGGTTGCGTATGCTTGTACTGGTTTCTTCACACACTTTGAGATGGTTTGCTGAATCCTCGTGCAACATTTCTTTCAATTCAGCTTAGCCACACAACGTCAGTAGCTCAGACTATGAGCCAGCAGGGAACAACAAAGGAAGCGATGCTTTGCGTTTCTTCCCTACGCACGTACGGTTGGACACAATGGCAAAACTACGTGCGCGCTCCCGCTGTGTAGCGACAAGATGGCGGTCGCCGCCGGATCAGGTAAATGTACGAGAAAAATAAATCACCATGAGAAGCTGTTGTTGAATTATCGGATAAATGAATTTTCATTATGTCGCTGTCAAGCTCCATAAGGAGGTTGAATATGTGCTGTCGCAGCTGCTGTGTGAAAAGATACAAGCTAACGCAAAGGCGGAGCTTTTGTAGAGAATGAATAGGAAGCGATGCTATTAGCTAAGCTACCGTAACGTTAAGTGAAGTTAGATAGTAGAGCAGCGAGGTTCAGCATGACTGCCGATGATTAAAGTCTTTGTCATCTAATAGCCGTGGCAGTAATCTGCATAATCTAACACTGTGTAAATTGTTCGCTTTCATTTAATAACGTAATTTAGCAATGGTGTCTTACGCCGACGCTAGTGAACCCAAGCACCCGCATCGCCACCTTAACGTCCGGGTGGTGTATTAGCTTATTTTCGACATAAAATTGTTTACAGACTCTGAACGCGGATGTTTATCATACCGGGTCATTAGCGTTTTAAGTCATCAATAGATGTTGGTGCATCAACAGTGATCATTTGTGCATGGTTAATCTTAGACTGTTCACCGTCAACAATGACGATACGTTTTCTGAGACACTGACTTCCAGCTAATCGAGAAAACAAGATCAGTGCTGAGTTTCCGTGAAGGGCTCTCGAGATGCCGGTGAACTGAGCTAAAATTGCTGCACCAGCTGGCAGCGTGACTGTGTTTGTTTGCATGGCTCAGTTAACAGTGCAGCACCATCATATCTCACTGCAGAGGACAAATGATGCAGCATTGTCGAAAGACGATGCTGAGTTAGAGGACAAGAATATCATTATCAAAAGGCTGGTGAATCTGGTCAGCTAAGGCGTTTCTTATTTTCCTGCCTGAGTGTATCTGAGTCATGCCACTACCAGCGCGCACCTTTTTTTAACTGCAAGTCATCGCTCTGGCAGAAGCTCATGGAAACAGATGAGCTTGGTGGTACCTAAGTCCCCCTGTCATGTTGGAAGTGTGCTTGTGTGAGCATAACCGCCTTACTTTGGTCTGTTTTTCCACAAACAGTTAAGGTTCCCCGCAATTTCCGGCTCCTGGAAGAGCTGGAGGAAGGTCAGAAAGGTGTGGGAGATGGAACAGTGAGCTGGGGTCTGGAGGATGACGAGGACATGACCTTAACACGATGGAGAGGGGTGATCCTTGGCCCTCCAAGGGTGAGCGTGCCATTTTTTTAAACACTTAAATGAGGACTGTGCATTAAGCATTAAAGTGCCCAAGCCCTTAGATGTAATCTGCGCAAAATTTTCTGTCAGTGAACCAGTTAGGACCTATGTGTTATGAAAAGGAAGACAGAAGCGCTGTTTTTTGCACTAGTTGTGCACTGCTGGGAATGAACGCACCAGCTAAGTAAAGTCAATCTAAAGGCAGATGCAAAGGCGTGTAATGTGTAATGGATGATGCTACATTAGGAGTGAAAGGGAATTTGAGGCAGCAATGCAATAAAATATTGCATACTATAGGCTTATATCACAGAATGACAGAAGGCAACAGGTAGCAAATCATAAAGAATAGGATTTTTTTTGGTTTTAGTTTGCTTGACTGCCTTAGGAGGCTAAATTAGTACAAGTGCAGCTCAATATGCAACTGTAATGTGTGTGTATATAACTATAAGACACCTCAGTGCCTCAACCACCTTTACAGAGGACTGTGGTCATTAATGTATGTCAGAGTACAGCTGGCTCAGCCGATTTGTGCTCTCCCAGATTTTAAACCAAGAGTGTATAATGTTCCTATGAAACTGGGTAAAATGCAGTTATATTTTTAATGGTCATAACTCATTGTGTGCTGTTTGTTATTTAGTGTGCTGTCCCCTCACATCTCCCTACCTGTTTCTATCCACAGACAAGCTATGAAAACAGGATGTACAATCTGAAAGTTGAATGTGGGCCAGAATATCCAGAGTTACCACCGTTTGTCAGATTTGTGACAAAGATAAACTTGAATGGCGTGCACACCTCCAACGGTGTGGTATGTAAATCTTCTAAACCAGTTGCTCTCATTCTAGCTTGATTACCCAAATTTGTATGCCTCAGCTGTCAGCAGCCTTTTGACATAGATAATGAAAAAAGGAAATGGAAAAAGAATTTGGCTAGTGTATATTTAGCAATTATTTACATTATTTGGGAGTATGTCCATGCATTTTAACACATTAGAGTGACATGTATCCAAAAGTTAAAGGTGCACACAATGAAAGGTGTGTTGTTGTTTTTTTATCACTACTCCTATTTCTTAACATTCTTAAAATTTTGACAGGTGAAAGCTAATGTAGGAGACACTTTCTGTTTTTTTGTAATGTAGTGTGCAACCTGTCAAAAACAACCTACAAGGCAGGATTCAAGGTATAACATCACATCCATTCTCACTTGTTCTCTGTCCTGCAGGTTGACATGCATGCGGTGACTGCACTGGCCAAGTGGCAGAACTCCTACAGTATCCAGATGGTGCTGCTGGAGCTGCGAAGGCTCATGACATGCAAGGAAAACATGAAGCTTCCTCAGCCACCTGAGGGCCAGATCTACACCAACTGAGCCCCTGCTACTTTTGCCTCCATCTTTTTCTCCTTTTCCTCCCCCAATTCTTCTGTTTTGCTTTCACCCCTTTATCCCCATTCTGCGCCATGTGACATTCCACCTCCTTTCGACACCTTGGCTGAGCACGCACACACACAAAGCTGATGACATAAATATACAATAACAGATACATGAGAAACAAACATACACATATATCTGTATAAACACATACAGCAGAAGACATAGTATACAATAACAGATACATGCAAACACATATGCGCAAACACACATATATATCTGTATACACACACTTACTGAGCGTTCATGAAAGTCATTTTACGCACTGGCCCCTCCCTCTCCCATCACTGGAGCTCTGGGTGGACTCGATGTGACGAGGCAGGCGGAGTCCTCAGTCTACACCAGATGTGATCATTCGAATACTGTACATGTTACTAATCTTTTTTTATTATTATTTGTTAAAAAATGCAGATTGTACAATAACATAAATAATCTTATTGAGTGTACCTCTTGTGTGTTGCCTTTTTGTAACATTGAAAACAACCACTTAACATAAGTGCACGTAGTTGACTGAATGTGTGTTTGCTGTTAGTCTTCTTTCAAAGTATACACATCAAACCCCGTACCCAAACCACATTTAGATTGGAAAATACTGTCTTGTCATGTGGCCAGATGTCTAGTGAAATATTTTCTTCTGTGTGTTTTGACTGCACAGAACCATTGTGTTTTCAAGCAGTCCAGTAGTAAACAGCTGTCTGCAGCTCAGCAAGGTGCCTGGAAGTGGTCACCTTAGTCACGCATGGCTTTTGTTATTCCTTCTATGTAAGAATTGTCCAAAGTGAACATTGTGTACAGTACCTATACCACTATATCTGATCTTAGTATGCATTGTAGCCTAGTATGCAAATCTACTGTAGGTCTGCAGAAGTCCCAGTTAAACCATGCTTGAAAATAGAAGTGAAATCAGCTACCTCTTTTGGTCCTGTGTAACGTCAGGGGAGTTATCTGACTTGTGAAACTGTCTTTGATACTCCATGTGACAATTTGTTTTACTTTCTCCACTTCTTTCATAAATATTACTTTATGCTTTTCATGCATTTGTGTCGTCGTAGATCACTACGTGTTAGTGCTCATGGGTTGAAGGTTTATATAGAACATTTCTACATAATGGCTTGTCTTCTGCACAGTGTTTATTTACATAACTTCCACTCTTGAATGCCCCTAACAGATTAAGCAGAAGTGTCATGGAAGCACTCACTTAAAGGCATAGTTCAACATTTTGGAAAATACGTTTTCTTGCTTTCTTTCCTAAAGTTAAATGAGAAATATGAATATTACTCTTTGTTTCTATAAATAAAATATGAAGCTAGAGCCAGCACGTGGTTAGCTTAACTTTGCATAAAGACTGGAAATAAAGAGAAACCACACTGAACATTAAACAAAATCCTTCTAACATCATTAGGGCATTGTGTCTTATTTAGTCTGTACACAGAGACTGGCCTGGCCAATAATTTATAGTTTTTTCTTATAACTTTTGGGAAGCATTTTCCAAAATGTTGAACTATTCCTTAAAGATTTTGCTGCCAATTAAGCTTACTGGTTCAACAGCACAGTAAGAGACACTTTCCCACCTAAATTTAACATGAACTTAACTGTACAATACCTCTAAGTTCAAGATCAGTCATCTGAATGTTTGTATGCTGTAAGAAGTGGAAAGAGGGATTTTGCTATAAAAATACACAAAATAAATAAGAAAAATCTTAAAAGGAATTTATATAACATAGATAAATGAACAAGGAAACGGACACAGGATTAGCAAATCACTTGGCGAATGTATTTTTCATTTCACTGTGGCTTAAATGCTGTCGGCCATTTTTTTTAAAACCCTCAGTTTTAATTGTGAAGCCTCTAGTGAGGAGTGTTTGAAATGTTTTTAATAGTGGGAGAAGATCTAAGATTATGGTGCCCACATCTTTTATCAGTGTCCCTTAATCTTGTCCCTCTGTCTCAGTTTAGGGAGTTCTCGCTCAATGAATTTAAAGACACCGTCCTCAAACTCTCATCAAGTCCCAGATTTCACCGCACTTGATTTGATATTGTCAATCAAAACACAGCTGGACTCAAATGAAGGTGTAGAACCATCTCAAGGATGATCAGAAGAAATAGACAGCACCTGAGTTAAATATGAGTGTCACGGCAAAGGGCCTGAATACTTATGACCATGTGATATTTCAGTTTTTCTTTTTTAATAAATTTGCAAAAATTTCTACATTTCTGTTTTTTTCTGTCAAGATGGGGTGCTGAGTGTACATTACTGAGAAATAAAATGAACTTTTTTGATTTTTGGAAAATGGCTGCAATGAAACAAAGAGTGAAAAATTTAAAGGGGTCTGAATACTTTCCGTACCCACTGTATTAATCCCAATTTTCATGAAGCGGGTATTTGTTGAAGTTCAGAATTGCAAAACTATATTATCCTAATATTGGTCAACTTTGTCCATAAACCAGAAACCCTTTAGCCCATTTCAAACTGGCAAAAAAGTAAGGTCTGACATGGCCCCTGTTCATGTCAGGGTGTTGTCTAATCTATGTTTTGTTGCCCCCTGGTAGATAATCTTTTTGCTGGGCTGCATTCCCAAGTTGAAAAGGCCTATGTGTTTTTGTACGTTGGGTCACAGACTCTGCAATGGTAGCTAAGGTGTATACATAAATATTTTGGAGACTTACAAAAACTAAAAATGTTTACTGGCTGGTATAAGAGTAAGATTTGTCGATAACGCCACATGTAAAGAGGAATGTATATTGAATTTAAAATGTAATTTTTTTGGTAATTATTATTACAGTCCCTGCGACCCTGTACGCAGGATAAGCGGTTGACGATGGATGGATGGATGGATATTATTACAGTATTTAAAATGTCAATGTTACTTTTACAGTGGGTGATGAGGACCTCTGCTGGTGACTGAATGAAATATAGGGAAATAAAGATGCCCTTCAGAATGTGGCAGTTTCAAAATATTAATTAGTGACATTCAGCTAAAATAATATCACTTAATTGCAAACTTTTTTAACTAGCTAACAATTCATTTGCAAAGTGCCTCGTTCTCCTGAGTGTAAGGTTCTCACACATTTGACTTTTATTCTGATGGTTTTATTTTAATTTTACTTCTGGTTCACCCTCTCCAGTAATATCAGTCAGACTGAAGAGGTTTATCTCCCTTAGTATTTTATAATTTCCTTTTTAATAATTTTATTGCCTTATGCCTGCCCTTTTCTAATCACTTTGTAATAGATGATTTTGATTTTGAATTGATTATATATTATTGCAGTGCTAAATGTCACTGAAGTGTGCTGACATCACAGCAAGAGTACCTTCCTGTAGATACACCACAGCCAAGAAAACTAGTTAGGCAGTGTAGGCATAGCAAATAGCAATAGCTAATGTTTGACTAAAATGCTCTAAAGCCTTAAGCTAAATTAAAGTCAAAAGGATAACTGTCTGTCTGGATAATGGGCACAAAGAACACTAGATCATACTAATAGTAATAATAAGTTAAGCAGTAAATGTTAGATTGAATTCCATTTCCACACATTACAGTTGGAGAAGCACAAGTATACTAAATTAAATTTTTACTGCCATTTATGTGAGCCAGTTGTGGACCCCTGTTCATGCTGGTTTACTGCTACACTGGGAAAAAGAACCGATGTTAATTTTAATAACCTCCTGCTATGACAAGTCAAAAATGTGGTAAAACTGTCATCTTACACTTAACTAGAGGTGATGAGGGCTTTTGAGGGTTTTTTTTTAAATACAAGCACAGTGGTGTCTTATTCCTGAATAGGAATGAAGAAGTGGCTACTTCCCTCGAATTGTGCAACTGTTTGTTGCACAAGACTCCAGCCCTCCTGCTTAATGTCAAATTTGTACAAGTGAACTTCTTGAGATCTCAGTGCCAGATCAGACTTGAGGGCAGTAGGGAGTGGTGCAGGCATAGACAGTCAAAAATAACTGGTGCAGAACATTTTGTTTTTCTGCTGGAGCTGGCAAACTTTGCGAGCAAAAATGTCAAGGGCACATTGAGGCGCTTCAGTACTGACTTGACCTAATTAAGAGGTGCCGTAAAGAAAGCTTAGTGGATATAGACACTGCCCTCTTGTTATCCAGTGGAGCTGATCAACTGCTGGATTGGACTCTGACCTACCTAGAAGCCATGTGATTCCCATCTCTGTGTGTACGCACCAATAGCCAAAGGAGGTCTGTCACTTACTTCTATGTAGAATGACAGCAAGTCATATTCAGCACCTCCAGGGACTGAAGAAACTTGTAAGTACATGTTTAAAAGGCAGCTGTGTTTGTGTGTCAGATCAGCTGACAGTGTATTTTCTGTTCCTCTAAAACATGAGAATCAAAACTAAGACCACACTATTTTATTATTATCTCAAGTGATGACATTATTTAAAGGCATGATACTGTTTATCTCAGAAGAATTTGTTGAGCAAACGTGGGTGTGTCATGTGATTATTTACACAAAGTCAAACTTGCTGTGTCCATTATCATGAGGTAAGTGTGGAAGCCACAAGCATACCAAGAGGCACGAAGGACCATATGGATTGTCAGACGCCTCCACACAACATGTGTGATCAGCTGCTTGAAACACGAGTAGTGCACTGTGTGTGTGAACTAAAACGACATTGGTTTTGGTGGTGTGAGTTTCTGTCAGAAGAGATTTGATTTCCCACCGGCTTTAACTGTGAAGAAAGACACTTGTCCTTGAGTTTGTTACATTATTGTTGTAAGGGTTTACTGATAATGACTCAACTGACATTTGCTCTCATGAATTATCAGGGATTAGAGATATTTACTGCCGCTAACAACAGGGGTGTTCCTTTGTCTATGTTGTATAAAGGAATCAACTCTAAGCAGCAATGGAACATGTTTTTGCTCCAGCACAGTTTTTAAATTCAATTTTGAGACACTTCAATGTTTCCATTTTATGCCACGTTATACTTCTACCTCACTCCATTTCAGAGAGAAATATACGTTTTATGCCACTACATTTATTTGACGGATATAGTTACACTGCAGCATAAGAGTAATGGCATATTATTGACATATTCATACTACATAACATCATCCTATATCCTCTCAAAAGCTTGACAACCCCACAGTTTACACACCGACACACACACACACACACACACACACACACACACACACACACACACACACGCACACACACGCACACATAACAGTGGTTTTTAAGACAAGAACATTTAGAAAAACAGTTACTAGTAGCATTCAATTATACTATAACATTTTAAAATCTTTAAAAACAAAGAGAGATCTTTATTTCAAAACTACTCATTTAATTTGTCAGGAAATAGTATTTAAAACCAGTTTCAACATGTTGTGTACTTTACATGTCCTGTGGCCTCACATTACAATGAATCTATTTATGTAGATATGATCAGAGAGCAGAGACAGTTTAGCAGTTTTGTAGTAGAGCTCTATAGATGAATAATGTACAGTACAACTCCCTTCTGTCAGGTAAAGAGGACCTCCTTTTCCTACGAGACACAATGTGTGTGTGGTTTTATGGTAATCATGCTGATAGTTTTGGTCTGAGATGGAGCTCTCAATAATGTTTTGGTTGACTTAAAGTGTAACATTTAAAAACTAATTATTTTGGTATATGTAATGGCAAAATTTTAATGTGCCTTACTTTTTTGTTCAAGGTATGACACACAGCAGAGGTGGAACGACAGCTTCATCTTCTTCAAACTTTCTTCAGACTGGTCTGGCAGCAGTATGGCTCTGCTCATCCACATGCTGGCCTGTGCCTTTGGTCTGGGCTCTTGGGTGGCGGTGAACGGTCTGTGGGTGGAACTGCCGCTCATCGTCAACACTCTCCCGGAGGGCTGGGAGCTCCCATCCTACCTGACAGTCATCATCCAGCTAGCCAACCTGGGGCCTCTGCTGGTCACCCTCATGCACAAGCTGTGTCCGGGTTGTCTTAAAGAGCATGTTGTCATTTACTCCATTCTCTGCATCGGTGTCCTCTCCTGCATTCTGCTCGCCTTCTTTTGGGACAAGACCACGATAGTGGCTGGGGCATTACATAGCACTGCCTTCTTCATCATCACAATCTTCCTCTCTCTGGTGGACTGCACCTCCTCAGTCACCTTCCTGCCTTTCATGACACAGCTTCCAGCGAAATACGTCACAACGTTCTTTATTGGAGAAGGGCTAAGTGGTTTCATTCCTGGCGTAGTCGCTCTGGCACAAGGTGTGGGCATCGCCAAATGTGTCAACTCCTCTCACACTCCAGGAAACCACACAGGCATGTGGTCATTACATACAGAGTATCTTCCTCCCAACTTTTCCACAGAGGTGTTTTTCTTCTTCCTTGCAGCCATGATGTGCATAAGCCTGGCTTCTTTTGTTGCACTGAACAGGCTTCCTGGGACATATGAGCTGTCCACCGAAAACCTCACACCAGACATTGCAGTATCTGTCAGCTCCGGCCTGGAGAACCCTGGAGTAGAGACTGATGGAGAGGGTGTGAAATGGCAGGGAGAGGGAGCAGCACAGAGCAGACTTCTGCTGCCCAGCCCAAAACACTCTGTGTACCAGCTGACCGTCATCTATTTTCTGGTGGTGTGGGTTAATGCTGCAACCAACGGCTTGCTGCCCTCTGTGCAGACGTACTCCTGTATGCCCTACGGGAACCTGGCCTATCACCTCTCTGCTGCTCTGTCGTCAGTGGCCAACCCACTGGCTGCCACCATTGCAATGTTCTTCCAAAACAGGTACATATTATCGTTGTATAGATTGTGATTTTTTTTTATTAAAGGATATGTTCACAATTTGTCTAGTCTGTCTTAAAACAAGTCAGGTGCCCATATGAACACTGAAACAGGTTTGGCTTTAATCAGTCTTCCTGTTCATACTGGCCATTAAGAAAACCTTTTCTAATGTTTTTCCAAAGTCAGTGATGAAGTGAAACGGGAACTTCAGGGTTCTGTTCCAGAAGTAAGAAAATCTCATTCAAAAGCACATTGACATTTGTAACAACGCTAAGATAGGGATAGTGTTGTTTTTTAAAGGGGTTATATGTCGTTTTTTACGTCCTCCTTTCTTGGTCCCTTGAAACAGCCACTATTCTGCATTAAGTGTGAAGGAATCGGATCGGATTTTCTGCATGCGCGCTCCCGAGCCTCTTGCTTACTGATTCTGAACAGCTAAAATAAAGGAGTCTGCTAATGGTGGGCTCCCAGCACAACACAGACTCCAACACAAACTCCACTTAAGGATAAAAACACCAATAAAGTTTTATGTGCTGCAGCCTGTCAGGCCAAACAAGAATAAGATAGATGTTGGGCGAAAACACGGTTAGTGTCGGAAAAGGCTCGAGTCACCTGCGCTTTGTTTTGATAACTGTCCTAAAGTTGGCTTTCATCCTATTCTATAACTGCAAAGCATGTAAAATATATTTATTTAAAATATATACTTTAGTTGGCTCAAGTTCGATTATGTTAGCTTTTCAGCTAACAAGACCAGTTGCTAACATTATCCATTGCAAAATACTAGTTGTATGGCTTTCCCTATTACTTCACCAGCAGACGCAATCCATATAACTATCTTGTGTACCACCGGTATTATGTCAACGTGTTCATTTTACCCTGCAAGAAATTATGTAATGGTACAAAGCACCAGCGGTTTGTTTCTAGCTCACTAACCGTTTTTGTTATTATCCAATAAATCCGTTGAGCCTCCGGTGAAAGATGCACAAATAGTTAGTGGCAAGCAAGCTAACGCCGATATATCCCGTCGGCTAAATGCAACCAATGTAAAGTTATCATGCAACGAGCATGGATTAGTTCAACCTCTGGCTGATAAAATATTACTATAATGTTTCAGTGGGTGTTTTCCTGAGTTTCTAGTGTGTTATGTGACGCTGTCTCCAGTGTGTTGGACTTTGTTTTGACTCATTCATAAGTTCAAGCGTGTGCATGAGCTTGGGAAGGTAGTGGTTGCAAGCTAAAACCCCGCCGCTAGAGGTCGCTGAAAACTATATAGCTCCTTTAATATTTCTGGGTTTTAGCTGTATTTAACGAATACCATTTCCCATAAGCCCTATACCCTCACGGATAAAATGTCACAGTTTGACTAAAGAGATGAGTCCATGAGCGAGTCATGGCGCTGCGGTTTATTCAGACAAGGCTGTAACAACAGGAGACTGAATGCTGTAAAAGTTTTAAGACAGCAGTGACTCCAGCTAAATGTAGACGAATGGACGAAACCAAGTTTCTCCATATCTATAAAACTCTTTTTTACTGTGCTCAAAAGTAATCATTGTTTAAGTTTGTTAAAATCATTAACAATTTGTAATAGTAAGTGTTGTAGCTGAGCTGATTTGTCAGAAATTAAACTTCAAGAGCATGTTTCACTTTTTCAGAAAAGTGAATGATAGAAATGCTGAATGAAAGATTGCATTAAGTTACAGAAGCTAGTGGAACAGAGGCCAGCCTGGACATGGCATCATATTTTTGCACTGAACAACAGACTGGTTTTGTCCCCTATCACTTACATTGGCAGATATTAAGAAAAGCATCTCTTATTGGCCAGAATGGAGGAATGATTACAGCTAGCAAAACCTGTTTCATTATTCATATGGGCATCTGGTTGCTGGTGAAAATTTTGAATCCATCCATTCACTTGCTTAATAAATGACTTGGGCACATAGTTTCTGTCAATCCAACTATTCTTTATCTCTAAATGGATTCTTAGAAGTATGGACACTGCTGCTGATAACAAACCTCCTTTGTTTTCAGGTCACTTGTCGTTCTTGGCGTGCTGACAGCGTTGGGGACAGGATTTGGCAGCTATAACATGGCTATGGCAGCTCTGAGTCCATGTCCTTTGCTTCGAGGGTCTGTGGTGGGAGAGATAATCATTGTAAGTGAAAGATAATCATTGTAAGTGAAACATGTTGTGTAAAAAAAAAAACTGAAAAGACAAAAAGAAATGTGTAAAAGATGTGTTTGGCTAATAGACTGTATGGTGTTGCATAGAAAGACTGAGTACATAACTGATGACCAGGCAACACATTTGTATGAAGCTGAGGTATCAACATTTGAAACTGATGTTAAACATTTCCCAGATTTTCATATGAACATGTCTACTTTCAGGTGCTCTCATGGCTCTTCTTCACTGGGACGCTGACTTATGTCAAAGTAATGGTGGGTGTAATCCTGAGAGACCGGAGCCACATCGCCCTGGTCTGGTGTGGAGCTGCAGCACAGATGGGCTCACTAGTTGGCTCGGTCACCATGTTCCCGCTGGTTAACATCTACCGACTGTTTCAGTCAGGAGACTACTGCAGCACTAAATGTCCTTTATGACAGTTAATATGAAAACCACAGTACTAAAGAGGCTAGACACACTTTAGTTTCTTGTTAATTATGGTGCAAGAGGTGGTTGTGAATTAGCTTGATTTAGGATAAAGACTGGAAGCAGGGGTACAGATTAAACAAAGAAGATAAAACATGTTAATTAGTGAGCTTTAGTGGTGCTAGTAGCAGATGTTTACATTGGACAGGGTCAGGCAGCTGTTTCCCTCTGCTTCCTGTCTTAATGCTAAGCTAAGCTAACTGGTTGCTGGCTGTAGTTTCATATTTAGCCTATAAAAATGAGAGTGGCATCAATCTTCTCATCTAACTCATAGCAAGTGCATTTCTTAAAATATACAAATACTCAAGAGGTGCACCGTTCCATTAGCTTATGACCAAATCGGCTTTCAGCTTAATTGGCATGACCGGTGACGGTCAGGCTCACATGTCCGATCTTGTGTCAGCTACATTTACATGTATGCATAGCGGCACAGATAGTAACTTACTATTGTCACAGCCACACACACAAGCACATGCTAAAACATAATAACATGGTAAGTCCAAAATAAGCCATGTTTCCCCACACACAGACTTTACTTGGGTGGACTGCCCAGGTATATTAACTGACGTCAACGTTAATTGTTATTTTGCACAGAGAGAGAGGTGTTATCTGGTATAACAAGGTATAAGGTAAATTTAATTTAAATTTTTTAAATAATTTTACAACAGGGTTGTAAAATGAAATGCAGTTAGTAGTTCTCCTCTGCTACAAAGCAGACGATATATACAAAATCTACTTTGCATAAAGCAGTGCTGAGGATGAATGTGAATTTAAGAGTCTCATAGCCTGGGGGGGAAAGCTGCTCTGCAGTCTGGTGGTTCGACAGCAGATACTTCTGTATCTCTATCCAGATGGCAACAGGATGAACAGGCTGTGGCTGGGGTGGGTACTGTCCTTTAGTATCCTTTGGGCTCTGCGTAGGCACCTCCCCTCAATATCACTGATGCTCGGGAGATGGCTACCAATGACCTTCTGAACTGTTTTAATCACCCGCTGCAGAGCCCTCTGGTCCTGGGCCGTGCATATCCCATGTCAGTTGGTGATGTTTCCAGTCAGGAAGCTTTCTATTGCTCCTCGGTAACAGTTGACAAGAATTTGGCATGGGAATTTTAGCTTCTTAGGTTTTCTTAAGATATACAGCAATTTATGAACTTTCTACACCAGCATGAAGATGTGAGATGACCATGTCAGGTTTTCTTTGTGATGCTGATTATTATAAGGTAGGCTGATTATCTGGTATTATGTTAGAAGATGCAGATAGGTGGATATTTTACAAGCATGGACCAGATAAAGCAATAGTGAACACACCAATTAGTGCAGATGTCATTAACAACAAGCCTCCTCCACACGTGGCTCACCTGCTGCTGTGAAAAGGGAATTGCAGCTGGAAAAATCCAAAACGTTTATAAAACATAATGCTGATGAAGAAAGTCAACAGAGCAGACACATTCCGTGAGTGAGGAACAGAGATAGACAGGTGTAGGTGTGTCTGAAGGGAAAAGCATGGTTAGCAGACCATCCCCACCACACAGTCATTCTGTAGGAAACACTGAGCCGTGTTATACTGCAATTTATTTTCAGTTGGATGTTATTTGTAAAGAAAAGCTCTGTCCAGCAGCCTAACCTGCAGGACTGATTTATATTGAGATGTGTTTGGGTGAGAGAAGGTCCTGTAACTGTGGCAGCATGTCAAATGGAAGGAGGACTTACCTTTCTGTAACAGTCAGTGTTTTATTATGAATGTACAATTGAACGCTTACGCTGGTGCGAATGGGAATCCAAAAAAAGAAATTATTTTCCATTAAAGAAAAGTTTAAACACTTTTTGTGTACGCTGTCAATTATAGTTCTTAGAAAGAAACTTGGAATTGGCAGGTCAGACCTTTAAAAATATTGGAAATTAGAATCAGCCAGTAATATTGCAATTATTACACCAATCTTGAGACTGTCAGCTTGTTTGCCCACTAGATGGCGCAAGCACCCTTCTGTATATCACAAACCTGTCACTCCACACCCTGCAGGCACCCAGTGACCACAAGGCCTGGAAATACATTTACACTGTGTAAATGAAAAAAAAAAAAAAATAATTATACAATGTTAGCTATAGATTTAATCCTGACATTTATACACCTATTATATGGGATGTTTCCTTTGCAATTTAAACATGCATGTATAAAATGAAAAGCTAATAAAAACAGGTTGTTGATGCATTTTATTGCTGTGAATATTAAAGTCAGGACATGGACAGCCACATATAGTATTATACTAGCAGCTCTAGCCCAGAAACAATCAGTAAGATGTAATGTTGAGTTCTAGTTCTTATGAAATATAGCTGCATGTAATATTCAGGGAGTGGACAACATGGGACAGCACAACATCAGTCCTCCAATATAAAGATCAGTTCATGTTGAATTGTTATTTTGGAATTCATTTTTGTATTGTTAGGTGTACCCAGAGGTGGAAAGCATATTTACTGTAAAAGAACAGTACAATTTTTGAGGTTCTTACACTTTAGTATATGTGTTACAGTTTTTCCATTTTATGTTACTTCCTTATACTTCTACTCTACTGCATTTCAGAGGGAAATATTGAGCTTGTAACTCCACTACATTTATTTCACAGATGTCATCACTGTTTTAAACCAGATTCCCAACCATTTGGTTTACAAAGGGAGACTGGTTTGGGCCCTTTGCCACATATCAGATGTTTTAAGTGTTGTTATCAGTTCCATCCAGGAGACATTTACCCTCTAAACCTCTCACAAGGTTTAATTTCTTTTTTGAGAGCTTAAGAGGAAAAATTATTCAATTGGGAAAAAGAAGAAAAAAAAAGAAAAAGAAATAAAGATTGATCACCCTAGAAATTGTTCCATCTATTTTAAAAGCAACATATTAATTAATCAGACACAGGTGATATTTTTCTGAAGAGCAAGCACTTTTACTTTTGATCCTTAAACTATAATTTGATGATGCTGATGATACTGACTTTGAATGCAGGTCTTGAATACTTGTGATGGAGTATTAAATTGCATTGTGTATTGGTACTTTGACTTGAGTAAAGGATCTAAATACTTCTTCCACCACTGGGTGTACCTAATATTTTGTCACCATCCCTGAGCTGACCATTATATTGGCCAGTAGATACTTTCATTTTTAATTAAAGTGGCCATTATATGCTTCATAAAGGTTGTATTTATTACAGACCATGCTAATGTTATAGTCCACTTATTGTAATTTATTGTTCATCTTATGCATGTGTGAGTCTTGCAATACTGCTTTTCAAATTCAGACATTCTCTCAGTAATAATAATAAACCATCAACAGATGAATAAATCACCAATGAGTCATAGGAATGGTGATAACAAACAAAAAGAAAGAGGCAGGATAAACAGCCATGAGAAACCAGACAGCCTATGGTCCTATAATATGTCTGGTCCAAGCCTCCATCATCGCCATCAAAGATGCTGCTGCACATCCTCTGAGGAGGACGGAGGGACGCTGGTCATTCATGGGAACCGGAGAGTGGTTTCCCATCAGCAGCTGTTCCTCCTCTCTGCCCGCTTGCCCTTCAGGAGGAGGGCGAGAGCTTCCCCGGCTCGGAGGAGGGGGAGGAGGGCTCTAATTACTGATGCTCAGCGGGGGCCGATGGCTGTTGCTCCTGCCGCTGGTCACTTGGGAGCTTCCATGACCCCGACACTGAGTAAAAACAAAAAGATGAAGAAGTGAAAATGGGGCCACAATTAGCCCTATGTAGCCTCCAGGGTCCCGGATCAGTGGAGGAGAAGCACAGATGGGACTTTCTCACTTGGATTTGTTGAATCCACATTGCAGTATTGTGCAAGCTGTACGGAAATCACTGCAGTCGGTTGTTGATGCAGATTTCAATAAAATCTTTATCAAACAATGGATCTGATTTATTATGTTTATGATCATAAACTAGGAACGTTCACCTTAATTTTGCATTAAAATGCTGCTCTCCTGTTGTTAACATGACCTTGAGTGTAATCAAAAGGATTTTCTCTAAGCTTCATTAGCTAAATTCCTTGATTGGCTCAGAGCTTTTGTGTCAAGACAAAACAAAGCAGCAAAGAAAAGTGTATCATTTTCCTGCGAGTGTCAGATGGTCCCATCGCTCCTCCAGCTGGTCAGGAGGGGCTGTGGCCACCTGGATGTCCCGGTCCTGTGAGATCCTGTAGTCTCCTCTGCCATGTGAAGACTCCACTTACTACGCCAATGAGAGGTCCATCTGCTCAGGACGACACCTCCCATAGAGCAGCCTCCCACCCCCCACCACCATCACCAACCCCCCGCCCCCCCTTTCCAGCCAGCCACTGTTTCTCTCAGCTAAATGAGCAACGTGTCAAATGGAAGGAGGACTTACCCTTCCTTTAACTGGATAAGAGAATGAATTCACAGCGGCATGATGCAATGAATGAATGAACCCACCTGCACTGCTGCAGAATCGACAGATATGTCACCTGTGTCTGACGTTTCATGATCTTCTCGTTCTGAGGCACAAATGCAGGGTTCAATGGGTAGCATGTTAACATTTGACTTATTGTAAAAGCACGCCCACACATAACTACGTTTTTTTCCCTTTGACAAAAATAACAAAACAATGCTCAGAAAGTGTGAGAATTTGTTTGGGTGATGCCGCATGGCGTCAGATTTTGGCAGCTGCTGTTCAGGTGAACAGCTTGTGGGTAAACCAATTGCTGATGCATGCAGATAATTCACAGACAGACACAGCTCAGACAGCACCTCTCCCATCAATTTCCACACACACTCCATTTAATAAATGCTGTTCATTTATTTAAAATTGGATGTGACAGCCCTATGTCATTTCACTACAGTGTCTCGGAGCAGACAGTGATGCGCACAGGCCCACTCCTCGTTTTCTATCAGCAGGTATTGATGTTGCTTTAATGAAGTGCCTAGCACTCCACCCTAGGAAGAGACAAGTCTGTCAGCATATGTAAATGCTTCCTGCCTGTCATTGTTGTGGAGGGTTCAGCATGGGTCAGCATAGATTCCCCCTCTGGGAACCCTTTGTTCTGGGGCCCGACTGTGCCACATGAGGGGACCAATTACAGAGCCACACAGCAGGACGGGGGTGCTAACTTGTTACCCTGCTGTAGTGAGCTAATTATTACCTCCACTCTGTGGGTAGTATAAAGCCAGTGCATCATGGATGGGTGACAAAAGCTAGCCTGTCTGTATGCATGTAGCTGCTACATAAATGTTTTATATTTCAGGAATATGATAAGACATTTCGCTTTGGTGAATTGGTTTATATTGAAGGCATCATTATCACAGTTTGGGAAAAGGTCATCCTAATTTTCCAGTCATAAATAGCTACTGAACTACTTATATCCCAGCGGAGCTCCTTTGCATTGTCAATGCAAAGGCAATTTACAGGCTACAGACAGCCAACCACATAACCTTGATGTGGTGTCAAGAAATGATTTATGAAAATGCATCCTCCTCTCCCTGTCCCGAGTGAGACCTGGCTGGACCCGGAGTGTTGACACAAAGCCCATACGGCCGAGCAAGCAGACACTTGCTGAATTATCATTCATATCATAACATCTCAATTGGCTTTTGTTCCCGGTTCCTGATGAGATATTGGCAGTCTGTTTCTCATCAAGGAGTGCAAGAGATTTGCCAGGTTTTCGGCGAGCAGCAAAATGTTTCAGCTGACGTGCAGAATGATGTGTTATGCTAATGCCAGCGAGAGGAGATGTAAGTCAGGTATATTAACAATGAGCAGATCAACTTAAATGTATAAACACACCTGAGCTGTAGCTGCATAGTGGTGCAAAAGTGTTTTGGAGGGTAAAATAAAGGGCATATTTTAGGACAAAATACAAAAACACACCTCTTGATGCATATAGATGCCCTTCCCATCTTGTTATTAGCCCCCTCTTCTTATATCCAGCCCATTCATCTCCTTCTCCCCACCCCCAGTGACCAGTCTAGCCCAGCTGCTAGGGGCTACCAGTCCCCCTCGTGTGTGTGGGGCCAGTCAAGTGGAAAATGGCTGCTACCGAGAGAGCCCACTTTAGAGAGCCATCATCCTTTGAAGGGGCATGATGGCCTTTGACAGCCACAGTGTTAACATGGAGCCCACACGAACACAGCACTGCTATTATCGTGTTTACTAAAGCAAGAGGAGCGAAGAGGGGATCAAGGGGACACCCTGTTGGTGGATGTTTGAATCCAGGGGTGGCGGGGTACTCGTCTGAGCCACGCCACAGTGGTATTGTGGGGAAACATGAGACGGGCAGGTGTAGACTGTATTGCAACACATCAGTCCGGCTTTTAGTGAACAGGTCATTGAGTGTGTGTCGGTGTGATGTGTTTGTCTCATGCTTCTTTATCTTGTGGTTACTATTCAAAAATTCACCTGTTTCAGTCAGATGTTTTAGGCAACACAACTCCTGCTCTTACATTTTTTCTCGATTTTCTCACCACTATTTATGCATTTCCTGTTGCTTTCACACAGTAGCGAAATGTCTCAAATGATCCAAAAGATTTTGTGTGCAAAAAGATGTGTGTATCTTAAGGCAGTGTTTACGATACACAGGAGTTTATTCAGTCACCTGTAGAGGATCTGATGAGATCATATCACCAACAACAGAAGTGTTTGGGTAATGAGTAGACAATGTGTTGGTAGGGAATCATGTTCATTTCTAAATGGTTCCTTGTTTACATGAATTTTCTTATTTTGGGACCTACATTTTTCTATTTCATGTTGTCTTACTATTAGCTTGCTTTACACAAACTGGTGTTTGTATCACAGGAGTGTTTTAGTCACCTGTAGAGGATATTTAACTTTATTACTGGGTCACTGTATGTAGTCTCAATGAGAAATGACAAAAAGAGACAGTTTTAGTGTCATTTTGTCTCACTCACAAAGTTCCATAAATATTGACAGTCTTGACTTTAAACCTGCAATAATAACTCTTGAGGGAAATATCTGGCTCTTTAGCTGCTAAATGCTCCATTATGTTCACCAGTAGTTCAGTTGCTAACTGTATCTTTCTGCCGTTTGCTGTTGAGAAGGTAGTGTACAGCAGGTTTTTAAAGTTTTTTAGTTGAAAACAGCTGATTGCTGTGTTCACAAACAACGTTATGAGTTAACCAAAACAGCAGTGGGCTGAACAGCTAAACAATTATACAAAACATAAATTATAGGTGCATTAAGTAATGATAAAGATGATATTTTGGTGGCAGCGTTTAACTTGTTGGTTTATTTACTTTTGGCTTGAGTTAAATGTTTGAGGGAGTGACGGCCTTTTGCAAGACAAGGACTAGGTAGAATCAGATAAAATTATATGGTGTTTACGCTTAGTGTTTTGAAAACTGAAACATGGTTTAGAAAATGTACCTAACCAATTGATAAAATAAAAATAAAAAAACAGTAATAAGCTCATTAGCTGATGCAGTGCACTCTAATCCACCACTGACCTTATGCAATGTGTGCAGCCCAATTTATGGAGGTTGGATCAGCAGCATATACACAGTTTCATCCGCCCTGCTTCCGCTGGCTCGACTCCAACACTGACTGACTGCTGATCTATGGCTGTAACTCGACCAAGCCGCTCTCACAGTTCCAGCACATGTTGCTGGAGGACACACGTGGAGCTCAGAATGAGCAACAGTGATTTTAACTGCAACAAATGGTCGAGGTATGTCATTATCCAGATTTTTGTGTCGAGGGATCATTACCTGCCACAGATGCCACTGTTGTTTTGTGTCTGCATTTGTCCTGAGGCTAGTTAAACCAAGACACTTGAAAAGAGCAGGAGGTGCCTTTGTGTAGACGCACACCTGATCTTAGCAATCAGCTGGCAGCTCTACCCCTCACACAAGTGTCTCAGGCTCTGCCTCAAGGCCGTCCATCTGTTGCTGCAAGGATGAGTGGCTATGGGTGAATGTGCCTGCGTACAGGTCGGCATCTATCTGTGTGCAGGTGTGTCGGGAGTGGAAAGTTGCAGAAAATATGTGATTTGTGGTTTTGTCCCCTTTGACACCTCTTTTCCCAGAGGCGTAGCGCTCACTGTAGTCATGAAACAGATATTTAAAGCGCAAAGCTGTGACAAACAAATGTGGCAAGAGGCTCAGTGTGTAATTACTACAAGCAGAGGTAGCATTAGAGAACTGGGAGATCTATAGCACATTACACCTTTTATCTTTCTATAACCATGCGTAAAGATACACATGAAGTCATGAAATCTGAGGTAAAAAGGACAAAAAGATGCATGCTTTCTAACGAAGTGTAACATCAGATTGTATTTCCTGCTGAGTCTGCATTATATAGCTGTTAATGAACACCTTATCTTCTCTAGGAACATTAGAAAAGGCTTTTGATGGTGGTATTGAATGCCTTTAGCGTTAAATACTCCTGTGTGTGTGTGTGTTTGTGAGTGAAAATGCAGAAATTTTTTTTACCCAATGTGTCTTATTTCAGTGAAATTCAATGAGAAAAGCGGTGCAGAAGAACAATGTCTACGATCGTGACAGAAAAACTTAATGTCCTTGTACACACAAGATTTTAAAGGGTATTTTGTCTCGTCCACAAAGCATTCTGCCTGTCCATCGCTCAGCGTGAAACATGGTGAGTAAGAAGAGGCAAGGAGGTAAAAAAGCAACCATTTTCAGCCCCACACCAAACACACACACACACACACACA